TCTTTTGAGAGTTTTGATAGTTGAAGTTTGCTCTATACCCCACGCTGGAAGATTCTCTTTTTGCGAAGTGTGGACAGCTGGCTGGTGTGATTAGATACATGAGGGATAAAATCTCTAAGATAATTAATAATCCCCAGAAACTGTTGAATTTGCTTTACTGTAAGATTATCGTCTGAGAACTTGAGCAATTCCTTTGCAATATGTGGTCCAGGATAATGCTGACCTTTTTCAAAATTCATTCCAAGAAATTCTATACTTTTGACACCTATTTCTCCTCTCTTTGCCGACAACATAATCCCATATTTTTTAATTATTTCCCCAAATTGGGACAATAAAAGTTTATGAGAATTCTTATCATTTAAGAAGAGTAAAAAGTCATCAATATAAATGAGGAGGTTATCAAGCATAGGTTCAAAGATTCTGGTCATGGCCTTTTGGAATAATGATAGGGCAACTTTGAGCCCAAATGGCATAACAGTCTATTGGTATTGGGCATATGGAATACAAAAAGCAGTTTTGGGTCGATCTTCTGGGTGGATACCCAATTGCCAAAATCCCGCTTTAAGATCAAACTTGGAAAAGATTTTTGTATCTCTAAGATGGACTATAAGTGAACTAGGCTTTAGTAAAAAGAATTTGTCATCTTGGAGAAAAATATTGAGAGGTTTATAGTCAATGACTAACCTTTTCTTTTTTCTTTTGATTTTTAATCTCTTTTCAATGTAGAATGCTTGGCAAGCCCAATCAAATTTTGTTGGTTCAATAAAGTCTTGTTTGGTGAGCTTGAGATCTTCTAGATTCATCCCTGGATGAGAGGCTTTTGTGAGATTGATATCTTCATTTTTCTTGAAGGGGAGTTTTATGAAAAACTCTTGATTTTTCCATAATGGAAATGGATGAGGGAATTGTTGATGAATATCAGCACAAAACTTGAGGAGATGATCTCTAATGCTTTCATATCCTAGTGGTACTTGTTGGATTTCAAAAAAATTAGAAATTTTAGTATATGCACTAAAGAAATTTTTATATCTAATTCCTTTAGGTAGTACTTGAAGATTCATAGTATGATAATAGGTATCAAATCCAATAAGGATATCTTTCCTAGGGAGATCATTACTAAGAACTTTCATCTATAGAATACATCTTGGGAAGGACTGAATACCAATCTTCCTTCAAATAATATATTCAATCTTGAATGTTTTTGAATCAACAGTAAGGAAGAATTGATCACAAGGGATCCATGACTCAGAAGGAAGGATATCAGAATTCATGATGGTTCTGCAAGCTCCAATATCTATGAAAGCAATAACAGGAATTGGTTTTTCATATCTTTCTGGAAGGATATGGATTTTGACATTAGGTTTGAGAGTGACTTTGTTGTGTTCTAGCTGAGAAGCCAAAGAACCATGGAAAGATGGATACACGAGTTGTTCAAGGGAATATAGATACCCTTGAGGATCATCATCTTCTTGGGATAAAGATTCAGAGTTAGTTTCTTCATCTTTAGAGAAAGGAAGAACATATTGTGTTTCTTCATCCTGAGCATCTTGTTCTTCAATGACATATTCAATATCTTCATCTTCATTGATCATTAGAACAGTCTACAAGTATTCCAGCATCTTCACATCTTTTTTGTCTTGTTAGGACAATTTTTTTTTGCAAAATGTCCTTTTTCCTTGCACAAATAGCACCTATCAGATTTCTTTGAATAAGACCTACGTCTTTTGAAGTACCTCAGGAAAGGCTTTCTAGTTCTTCTTCTGGAATAAGAACCCTTTGGATATCTGAATTGACAATAATGAGATTTCTTCTTGGTAGAACAAGAGTAATTTTTATTGTCTTTGGATTTTATCTTCAGATGAGGTTTTTTGCAAGCATGCTTTAGCTTTGACTGTCCTTTCAGCATTTCTTTGAAGAACTTCTGTTGTTCACAGAGCTTATCCACAGTTGCCAATGCCAACTGGTGTATTTCTCCTATAGAAATGTCAGACATATTTCTATGAAGTGCATTGATAGCTCTATGAATTTTTGGTTGCAGTTCATCCAGAAGAGAGGCAATAAAAGTATGCTTGAGATTGATATCATTAGCTCCTCTGAGCATGTAGTATTTTTCAGATATTCTTTGAAAATACTTTTGCAAGTCTCTTTTATCTAAAGAACAGCATTTCATCTCAAAGTATTCTTGGCGATATCTTTTGTCAATGATCTAGAAATCACCAATGAATTCCTTGTGAATGAGTCCCAGAAGAGTTCCTACATTATTAACTCTGGCTGCTGCTATCTTTTAGTAATCACTGAGGCTTTGAAACCATTCTTTTAATGTTCCTGTTAGTCTCAAGAGAAACTTTGTAAGAACTTCCTCAAGATTTGTATCATGCCTGGTAAGTTGCAAATCAATCCATGCCCCGAACTCATGGAGTCTGTTTCTCCATTTTTCTGGAGGAATGTCATCAAAAGTGAACCATAGACCTGTAGTAGGTTTGTAGTCTATTCTTCTAAGGTCAGATATATGAGGGACAAATGGTTCTTCATCAAAAAGATCTTCAACTGTAGGATCTGGTTGGACCACTACTACTATAGAAATATCAGCATGATATGTTTCAAAGTTAGAATTAGAACTGTATTTAATAGAAGGATCAGACTCAGTTTCAAAGCTTCCATCAGATGATGATTGATCTTTATGCAAAGATTGAAAAGTGGCTATGATTTTGTTTGGATCAACAACTTCTTTTCTTTTTTTCCCTGTCTGGAAGAGAATCTTGTTTTGGTGGAGATGATGGCGGAGTTTTTATTATAACTCCTTGAAAGGATGGTGTTGGTTCAATAAGTTTAGTATATGAGGATGACAGCTGAAAAGGTCTTTCAGGTGAAGAGAGATGAGGTGGTCGTATTAGAGGTTTAGGAAGAGGATTTGGTTATACAGGTGGAAAAGTTGGTTGAGGTTTTCTTAGTTGTCTTAAAATGGGATAAGACATTTTGAAAACCTTACTGTAATCAGATTTTCTGGGGTAAGAGGAAGGTGATGTTGGATATGTAGGAAGTTGGAAACTAGAGAGGTAAGATGGATAAGGATCATAGATGGTTTGTGAATGATCTTTTGCAATATCTAGCTCAATTCTCTGTAAATCCTTTTGGATTTGTGATAATTCTTGCTCTTTTCTGGTAAACTCTAGTCCAATATATCATTTTTTTGATAAATCTCTTCAGATATGCATCCAGTTGATAAGCCTGAGAAGACAAGATTATATAAAACTGTTTGACTTGATCAGAGACGTGATCAAGCCTGCTTGTCAGAGTATCAGTTCTGAGAGTCAACAGGTCAAGCTTTGAATCAATCTTTGCGAGAGTTCTGTTCTGGCCGACCGCATTCTGGGTCTACTAATTAAGAACTTCTTCTGCTATTGAGACTGGTCTGGTTTCACCAGTAGGAGAGATTTCTGTTGGAATAGAGAAAGGTTTTGCTGCAACCTTTGTTTCTCTGTTGGTTCTTCTTTCAAGGGAAGAAAAATCCTACTTATAAGGATCTATCATTGCTATATACTAGATGAATTGTCAAGTGACAGGAATCACCGGATCAGTCCTTTGTTTAGGAAGAAGATCTTCATAACTTGTTTCTTTAAGCAAATCATATAGAGATAATCTACTAGAAAAAACAGTAGGAATAGGAACCTTCCAATTTCTAGTTTTCTGCTTTGAGCCATGATTATCATCACCATCATGACAATAAAATCTGGTTCAACTCATAAACCAAAATGGTTCATGTTTGCTTTTATTAAAAAGTTAACATAATCTTTGATTTCTCAAGTTTGTTCTTATTTTGATTTTAATCCCTCAAATTTTAAATCACAAGTTTTAGTCTTTTAGGAAACAAAATGGTTCAAATTTTTATTGAATTATAAGAAGTGATATTTTCAATGAAAAGAAATCTAAAAGATCAAAACCTATAATTTAAAACTTAAAAATTCAAAACTAAAATAAGGGCAAAATTTAAGAAACAAAAATTATATTAAACAACAAACTGAACATCTTTTTTTTTAAAAAAAATATATAATACCACAATCATATCAACTCCAAATCTCATGCGAGCGATTGCCGATGGCACAAGTAGTGGTTGAGCAAATTGAACATCCTTATTCCTTAGTTGGGTCGTTAGTTACAGACAAATAGTACATAACAGTCCAAAATCTTCAAAATGATTTTCTTTCATGCATGGAAAAGATCAAAAGAATGAACACAAGAAAAATAACAGCACTAATCAATCTGCATTTTGAGGTGCTATAAAACATTAATGTTACTTCGATCTATTTTATTAAGGTAATCCCAAAAACCACATAGGAATTATCTTGAAATAAGAAAATAACTAATTTATATAAATTAAAAAATTAAAAAAGTTAATTATATGCATGAAAAAGTATTAATTTTCCTGAAATGTTTTTCTATCTAGTTATTTACGTTAAAAAACTATTACCAATGGGCACAACCAATTGGAAAATAATACCCCTTTGATCCTTAACATAAAATCTAGTTAACTAATTTGAGTAAATTAAAAATATTAATTAAATTAATTAATACAACATGTTATTCTCAAAACAATATAAGCATTTTTTTTAATTTTCTCCTTTTATGTCCTACTTAATTATCATTGAGAAAAGATCAACAAGGTTAATTTGGGGGGGGGAAATAAACATATGAAATAAGCAACTTTTTAATTATATCGTATATTATAGATGAGAAGAGAAGCAAGTATGGAGGACAAAGAAATTAAAATCCTTCATTCTTGAATTAGTTCCTACATTTAAAACTGAATAGAGTATTTAGCAACATTAAAAGCGCTAAAGGGAAAAAAAATAATTTCTTGGGTCAACCACTAAACAAAGTCATGAAGATGAATGATGCACAAAATAACCTGAAGAAATGGCGCCACATGCTCGTACGAGCTGAAATGAGGGAAAAAAATGACCTAAAGGAAAACGAAAAGCCCAAGATAACAACACAACAGAATGCAAAGCAAGAACTGTGAAATACTTCTCACTCATTTTTGTCAAACCTTTTTCCCTGGATTCCTTGACAAACATGGCACCCAAACAGATGCTGAACAAATTCATTTAACAAACATAAGGCCAACAGAAGGAAAAATAATTAGTGAAAGCCAGTGGAAAACACTACTAATTCATGTCACATCACGCACTATCTAAATCCAGCCTCTTCCAAATATTGACAGAGGCCGGTGATTCAGAAAACAACGTAAATACAGTGGCATTATACATGTGACATCACCATTACATGTGATCAGACCTGCCATCATCCTCACTATTCACATCACCAGCATGTCTGCAGTCAAAAGAGCAAACATAAAAACAGGATCAGCGTTCTAAATCCCTTCATACTCAACTGCCAAGGTGATGACAATATGAGAACAGATGCTAAGTAGTAACTAAACAAAAAATGGTGAATAAGTAAGGAGTTGCATTGGAACAAACCGCCAAGATGATGTCAGATTTCTAGCTTTTCTGTCCAACTGAAGGTTCTCCAGAGCACTAGAAGCTCGAATCACATCCTCTGGAAGGTCATCATTGTCATATCGCCAATTGTACTCATCCTTCCGGTAACCAGCCATGGAAGATCCTCCTCTTCTATCTGAATACTATAGAGCGTAAATTAAAAGGAAACTTCAAGCATACAGACCAAGCAAGGTTAAAGGTCAATCAATCAAATACTCACCGGATGGCTGAGAAGGCACGGCCCTGCAAAAAAGTAAGTCCGAGAAGCATATTAACTGAGTGAAAAACATCAGGTACAAAGTAAAAAAAACCACCACGAGAGAGATCAGAGCAATAGAAATCATTATGCACCTTCCAAGGGGAGGTAAGCCACCGGCAACAGATGATGAAGGCCTTCGCATGTTCCAGGATTCTAGGTTTGGCAAGGGCTCAGTTTCAGATGTAGTAAATCTCCTGCCACCAGCCTTTGCTTGGGATAAATTCTGCAAAATCATAAATCACTTGACAATCAGTTAAAGACAAAAGACACTTGCAACGGCTAACACAGATGCTTCCCAATAGTGATGATGAACCAAAAATTGAGAACAATGACATTTTGTGTTGCGTGAGACAAAAATGTTGCCCCCAGCATGTCATTGATAGAAAGAAGAAATTATCTTAACAATTTCACCAAACATTATATTTCTCATTGTCCTTTCTTCCAATTGTCGACAACTCTATCCCTTCAACCTTAGCATAAGCTACCAATTTCCCTGCTTTCATGGCCACATACTTGTTCAGAAGCCCACAATTGCATCCTTACATTTTCTTTTACAACACAGCCAGCATAAATAATTGTCCAAGGAGTAAATATCTCATTCTCATCATAGACACTAGTCCTCATCCACTTGGAAGTAGCGATGCTTAAAATATACCAAAGAAGCATAAACAAATGTGAAGACGTAATACCACTTCACACACCTAAAGGATGGCACTGAAAGCTAGGGAATACTTGCTGTCATGTCACAGCAACTAACATTTTAATTATAGACTTTTACTCAAGTACCACCCATGGCTGTCAAATATGCAATAAGTAAACTTGTTCAAGGAGGTCAACTCAATTCTAAAATCGCGAGTGTTACTACTTCGCATGCTTCTATAAATAGCAAAGGAAATACATATACTGGTTATAAAATAATACTTAAACTACATTTGATCTAGGGAAAAAAAAGTAATAGACAACATCAAACCTAATCATCCATAGGCAATGTCCTATGTAGCCTGGAGACTAGCATGCCCTAGGATACACTCACTCATAATTATTTTTTTCCCCCATGAAAAATCTACTTAATGACATAATGTTAAACTATATTACTTGAAACACTAAATATAGAGCATAATTACAACAACAAACAAGCCTAAGTTTACCCAGAATTCTGAGCAAATTCACACATTATTCTACCATAAGCTTGATTGAATTTATGAACCATCTTTACTCGTGATTTTAACAAACATGAAGAGACAACCATTTAAAATAATGCATGTACAATCTTTGACTCCCTTCTAAAGAACAAATTAAGTACGAATAACTACTATCATGAATGTTCAGTCAAGATGGAAGTTATAATGATAAAGGCCATATAAAATTAATGCAAAAACCTCAAACTTCAAGAATCCTTCAAGAACATCCAAAAGCAGAGGGCTATCTCCATTTCTGTTAAGATCATATCCATTCTTGCTGCTAAATTCTTTTAACTCAGCCTTCCAAGAATCTTTTTGCTGCAAGACATATAAAGTCAACCAAATTGGAGTCACAGAGGGAGCTAAAACAAAACAACGTTATTGCGCACAGTCACTTGCTTACCAAATTACATTCTGGAAGATAAACCTTTAGTGTATGGTTTAGTTGAGCCCAGTCTAAATATTCGCACACCAGGGCAGTAATGAGTCTACCTGCATTGGAAAAAGGTAAATTTTAATGCAAGGGCACGGAAGTTGGGATGAGATACATATTCTTCAGTTATGAAGAAGATTAACAGATGCATATGATGTTGACGACCTGAAAACTTGTACATAAAGGATACAGAAATCAGATTGCAGACACAAAGTGACAAGGTCAAGGTAAAAAGGAAGCTCCCCCCAACCCCCCCCCCCCCGGGAAAAAAAAAAAAAGAAAAGAAAAAGAAAACAAGATGACATGGTCCATGAGATGATTCCACATTCATGACACAAGAACAATAAAGTCCAAAAGGAAATTGCGCACAGAAAATGTCTATCTATTATGTTAAAAGCAAGGATATCATGCCCTGTTTCTTCAAGACCATTGATAATTCCCCATGCAGTGATGCAGACCCGTACTTAGAAGACCATAAATTGGGCAAACCCAAATAAATCAGGCATGACTTGGTTTCTAAACTGTGTGCGGTTTCCTTCAATTGAGCAGCCCAAGTTGAAGTAGGAAAGTGACACAGGCAGCAATAATATCAAGGAATTCACTGTTACAAATAGCCAACTACCAGTAGCTCAGTCCTGAAGCTCTTGGCTCTACATCACGCATGTAGTCTTACAATTTTCACATGCTCCACCAAAGCCACACTATAGGAGATAGTTTCGTCTAGCTTTAGCTCAATATATATACAAGGCCACAGTAACTCTAATTTAAGTGATTCTGCGAAGGCTACAGCTAGAGATTCACCTGACCCACACTTGGACAACTAATATTTAATATATTAATATCCTTGAACCATATCAAGGGGATGAGAATAGAGGAATGGCAACTTCCACTCCCGTGCTCGACACGGCTGATGAAGCAAAATAGAAACATTTGAAGACGATGGGGAAATTGAGGCGTTGCTTAAAGATGATCAATTTTAACATATTGCATTTGATGGAGAATTGGTTTAGTCTTTAGATATCTTGGTTTGCTTGGAGTTTACCAGGAGGATCATTTAAGTACCTAGTCATGCCATTTATAACACATAATTATCAAGATACCCTCCTAGAAATACAGGTAAAAAGCTTAACCGTTTGCAGTAAATGTTATAGGATCTTGAAAAGAGAAACTACAAACCCGAAGGAGAGGCGTGAAGTTGTTTTGCTCGATCATTGCAGCTACCAAGCAATGCAGGCGGTAAACCTTCCTCTTTCTCTATTACCTGATCCTCCTCTTCAATAGCCTCAAAGACACTGGCCCTCAGTTCAGCCTTAAAAAAACCAAATCAACCGACTAAGAGAAATAATCAAATAAAGAGAATAGCATAAAATATTATTTGGGGACAAAAGAACATTCATTATGAATTGGGGGGAAAAATGAATAAAGGAACAAAAATGAAAATACAAAGACCCAGAAAATGAAAAGTGAAAAGCCCACAATTAGTTCCACAGTATCGTTTGAAAGAACAGCATAGCACCTCAGATCGATTACAGTTTTAACATTTCATTCCACAGGCTCAATCAATATCCATTCCCGGCTAAATTTCTTACAAGCTTTCATTTTGCAAGACCCGTTGCAGACCCACATTACAATCCTCCGCATAATTCGGAAGGGGAAAAGAAAACCCTAGATATATCTTAGCTACCATCAAATAAGCACCAGCACAATTTGTTAAGGAACTCGGAACAAATCTACCCTAAATACTCAATTGCCGACAAAAATAATTCAAAATATAAGCAAAATAATCACGATTCAGTCAAAAAAAAGAACAGCGAAAACAGCAAACATACTCGGATCCTGGCTAGGACGCCTTTCTTCTCGAGAGTGCGGGTCACAAGAGTCTTGAGGTCCATCATCTCCCTCGTGTAGTCGTCCATGGCTTCCAAAAGCTGAGCTTCCTTCTGCGGTTGGCTCTTTCACAGGGTGTGGTGGAAAGATACTTGGCTTCCACTCCAGTGGATGTAAAGGCGCGTCAGCGCCAGAGACACACAGCGGAGTCGGAGGGAAAGTGGGCAAAGGGCCAAAGGCGATGGCAACGTGAACCGAGGGGGAATGAGATTGGAAAGAAAAATAAGAAAGTTAAAGGAGGGATTCAAAAGATAATGAAATGGAAGTATATGCAACAGACCGGAAAAAAATTGAATTTCGAAATGCTTGTTTCGCCTGGAAAAAAATGAAATGGTGAGATGGCAAATCACGTATGAAATGACTATTATATTTTTAGGAAGTGTTTGAATAGAAATTAAACTATAATTTTAAAAATATTTTTAAGATTTACAAAATAAATATGTAAAAAAATTTGTTTTGTTTTGTGAAAAAAGTATTTTTTAAAAACACTTTTAAAAATTACCAAACACATCTATTTTAATAAAAAAATTTACAAATATGAGTGTAATGAATATTATATAATTTATTTTTCTCCAAATGATCTTTTTAATCTAACTTTTTTCAATTATAATTATAAATTAAAATATCATACAATTTTTGGTCTCTTAAATTTTCATGAATTTTGCTTTTAATTCGTTTAACTTCAAATTATAAGTTTTGGTCCTGAAAAATTAAAATGATCTAAGTTTTTATTAAATTATAAAAATTAATATTTTAGATGGAAAAAAAAAACTTAATGAATCAAAATATATAGCTTAAAATTAAAAAATCAAAATCAAAATAAATTTAAAAGATCAGAAATTATATTTCTAGATTAAACGAAAAATAGTAAACTTCACGTATAATTAAATGTGCAAGTGTTTAACCTTTGTTGGATCAGAAGTTTAGGAGTTGCCGTTGCCAACACTTCTAAAATCTATTGTCCGCGATGCTTAGCTTCCTTATTATAAGAATTGGCAGGTCTTAATTATAAGAATTGGCAACTCGTCACGTTTGACTATTGATATTTTATATTTCAAAATAAAATAAACTTAACAACATTGTTTTAAAAACAAATAAAAAAAGGGGGGAAATCTTTTAAAATTACTTCATAATTTAAAGACAAGCTCAATTAAAAAAACTCTACAGTTCTTCTAGATTATCATGTCACCGAATGCAATGATTTCAAGCCCATATTATTTGCCGGAGGAAATTTGCTTTAGAGGAGAGAGAATCCCATCGTTAATTTGGTAAGGCATAGATGACATCGCACTTTAAGAGTATTTTAAGAATTTCTCAAGGGCAATTTAGTTTTTACCTTAAATTATTTCCAATCAATATCTCACGCATTACTTAATAAAATATTTTATTTAAAAAAAACCTCATGAAATATTTTGTTTTCATTATTACCCATACCTAAAGGTGTTCAGCCTGTCTTGATCTCGATTTTATTGAGATCGGATGAGCCCCTCCTGAAATTTTTCAAGACAAAACAAGCAGGGACAATACAAAAAAAAGTATTGAGACGGGACAAGACAGGAGATAGAATTGTCCAGTTCGAGTTCTTTTACTTTTTTTTAATCATATTTTTTAAAATTTTTCCTGTCCTACCATTTTGTAGTGCAAATAAAATAATAATATCTCCAAGTCCTAATTTCCCTAACTCACTCATTTCTCCCACTAAAGCTTTTGACCGTTCGCCCTCCCCACCTCCCCTTTCTCTGTTCTCCTATTCTCTTCAAAGTTTGATTCTCTTGTCTCGCTCCCCAGCTCTAGCTAGCGACCCTCATGAAAGTCATTGTCCCCTTTCTCCGTTCTCCCATTCTTTTCAAACTTTTGTGTTCAAATTTCACTCTCCATCCCCTTTCTCCCTTCTGATTGGAAGTCTGAAACTTCGTGGCTTCGTTCTGACCTCCAGTTCGTCGTCGATGTCGGATCTCTGCTTAGTCTGTTGAATGTTGTGAATTTTTGATTGCTGTCTCATCTCAACTTAGATCTTCTCTAGGCCCTTCTGATACCTGTGAGTTTTCACTGCCTTTCTTCAACCATTCTTGTTGAGTTCGAATCGACAAGATTTGTTGTCTAATTCTTCATTCTCATAAGATTTTATTTGAATTACATTTTCCCTTCTATTTTTTTTTTAAAGATTTGGGATTATTGTATAGATTTATAATTCTAGTTTTTAATGATTTGTGTGTTTTTTAATGCTTATATGTTTTTTAAGATTTGGGACAACTTTATATTCAGATTCCTTACAGGCCCAACAACTCCAAAAACGTTTTTAAAAAAATCATACCAAAACATCCTCGTCCCATCCTGTCCGACGGGACAACACTGGGATGACGACGGGACAGTATTTCTATCTTGTTACTTTTACCGAGACAGAACCAGAATGAACTTGTTCTAGTCCCAATCCATCCTGTGAACAGTTTTATCCATACCAAAAATATTTTTCCTTCAACCTGGATATATTGTGCTGGGCTTGAGTTTTGAGTCATTAAACTCAGCCCACTACATAGCCTGTGAACAGCTTTACCCATACCAAAAATATTTTTCCTTCAACCTGGATATATTGTGCTGGGCTTGAGTTTTGAGTCATTAAACTCAGCCCACTACATAGAGTGGATTTTAAACTTGGTCATTTCTGGATACAAACCTAAAGCACCAAGCCCAACCTAAGCCTGCTGTAGGATATTCAAGTCTTTCCTTTTCCAAGCATTTTTATTAGTTTTTTAAATTTAATCTCTCCTAAAATAATTGCCTTCGCAACTCAATTCATGATAATCTTGTATTTTTTAAAATTTAACTGTTTATCAATAAAATTGTTATGAGTAATATCTTTCTAGTTTCTACTAATCTATTACTCCTCGTTTTTAATAACAACTCATTACTCGCTTTAGCCTCTAAATTTGATTCTACACATAATATTTTAATTCTTTTTTTTTATGTTTGTCATTTTTAAAACAAATTTATCTAATTCAAAAATTGATATATAATTTAATGCTATATTAAAATATTTTAGAAAAATCATGTCACATTAATGATAATTAACTAATTCATTTAAATTTTTTAAGAATTTAGTTTAAGTTAAAAATAGACAATGAAAATGAAGTTACCAATAGCATAGTAGACAACTTCAAATCAGACAAACACTATTGGTTTTTTTTTTTTTTGTTTAATTACAAAGGCAAACTCACTCGTGATACAAATAACAAGAGTAGACTCAACTAGAAGAGGCATATGCCTCCCTCATTTGTTGAAGGTCCTTAAAAAATCTCTATCTACAACTTGAATCGACCTCACTTATTAGAGTTGTCTACGGTCCTACTTTATAACCATTTCTAGCCAAAATATCAACACACTCAATATTTTTCCAAATCAGCTAGCATAATAGGCCAAATACTCAAAGCCATGACACCTGTTGAAATTTATTCTCTCTAGTGCATGTGAGACTTTCCAATTCAACCAATCCTACAAATCACTCCTCTGGTCCTATTTACAAGTCACTTCCAACATGTTTCATACAAAGCAAGAAAAATCTTAAACTTTATTAACTTTCATTTAAAATTCAATAACTTTCCAACTTTATTCCCATTCAATATAAATTATATCTCATATAAACAAAGTCAACTCAATAATAAATAAAAGGTAAGATTATACATTTATACAAAAAAATTCTCTCAGTTCCTTATAAATAGGACCAAAAAATGTCTTCTTTTTCTACCCTATAAATAGGACCAAAGGAGAACCATTAAAAAAAAAAAAAGACAAGAAAAGAGTTAGGATGCATAAAAACCTTCTGTATCTGTTTCTCTCTATCACAGTGTCTCAATAGTTGTATCAAACTCTCCTTACTTCCACACCCAAAAGGATACATGGGTGAATCAATTAGGCCTCTCTTAGTTCTCATAGAGTTAGTCAAAACTCTCTCATGGGAAATGTGCCACATAGAGAGTATTTCACTTTCTTAGGAACTTGCCAGTGCCACAAACTCCTCCAAGCAGGATTCCCCTCCTTTGCTACTAGTTGGGAAAGAAATTTATAGGTTGTACAGGCTGAGAAGTTTTCGACATTTGAGCTTTTCCAGCAAAAATTATGTCGTTGATTGATGTTGGAAACTCTAACCTAGAGAATTCTCCTTATGACCCACTCTGGAAGAAATTGTTGTAGCTTTCCCACACTCTATCCTCCATGTTCATAATAAAAACCAACCACTCTGTCATTCGGATTAATCTCATCCAGATTTTGATTAGCAATTTCTATTAGGGGTTTGTCCACATTCACCTATGGTTCCCACCAAAAGCTGTTATCCTGCCTGTTACCCATCTTTTTCCAATCCCCGCCAGCAAGTGCTCCCACACTTCAGTGATGCCGTTCTAGGTACTCGACATATTCTTCTTTTTGTTTACTGTTGGAATGGGTGAATTCCCATATTCATAAATGGCTCTCAAACATTGAACCCATAAAGCATCTTCTTTAATAATCAATCCCCAACATAGCTTCATAATACAAGCTTTTCTAGGTTCTTTAGGCCAAGACCACCATCTTGTTTGCTTTGCAGCAGAGTGTCCCAGGAGATAAAGTACTCTCATCTTGACACAAATAGACAAGCGGAGTCTCGCCTTCTGAATTATATGTCCAAAGGTTGCATTAGTAACTCTCAAGTAAATAAGCAGCACACTTAAATATTTGCCAATATTAGCAATAATGCCGATACCCAACCTTTGACTTAGAACTAAGGCTCTATTGATGTTGATGCTGCGAGAGAAACTAGCTTTTGATTTCTCCAAATTTATTCTGTGTCCTAAGGCCAAATAGAACCTTTCCATCACTTGCTTGATTTTCTCCACTTGACTCAGGAAAGCTTCCACAAAAAGCAACAAATCATCCGTAAAAAAATAGGTAGGAGATTGGGGATGCTTCCCTATTAAAACATAAAGGTTTTCACCTGTCTCCATTGCATTCAATTAAAATTATATGACTTAGTCTTGTCATACATAACACAAACAAATAGGGACTAAGGGGTCCCCCTGATGAACCCCTCTAAACGGGTGGAAGGTAGGTCCAACTTCACCATTCCATAGGACTACCATAGACATAGTGCTGACACATGCCACAATCACCTTTGAGCTTTGCTCCTAAACCAATAATCTGTAGAGTTTGTAGTAGAAAGTTCCAATCCAACCTACCATGAGCTTTCTCCATGTCTACTTTGATCGCCATATACCCTTTCCTACCCGGTTTGGACCTTATCCGATTGATTATCTCCTGTGCAATGATGATGTTGTCACAACTTGACCTGCTGAAAATAAAACTACACTGATGTTGGCCGACTAGGTGGTTTATTACAGCTCGAAACTGATTAGCTAACAGCTTGGTGATAATCTTTAAGCTCACATTACATAATGATATTGGTCTCATATCCTTAAATTTGGATGTAGCATGCTGCATTCCTACAAGTCTAACACAAGTAATCCATAAAAAAGGATAAACCATTTTTTTATAAAAAGAAAATTTTATTCAAAATCCAGATAAAAGGATTACACTAAATAGGACAAACCATTAAAATTATTTTATCTGTATGCTACAGTTTTTAGTTAATAATATAATTTAATAATTTAATAATTCAATGATAAAAATAAAACTGAATAATTTTATTTGCCCACCATATGGTAGAGATTCTTACAAGTTTATTTTTATTAAAACTCTTTTGTTTGGACCTCAGAGTTATTTTGTGGTTAAGAAATCGACTTTCTGGAGATGGAAATAACATATTTTAAATATGTGGGCTAAGCAAACTGCCATTTTGAAAACTACGAAACCTCCCAAGAAATTTCCAAACAGTAAAAATACAACAAAACAATTTAAAACCTAAAAACAAATTAGTAATACATTAAGAGTTAAGTTTGTTGGGAAAAATATTAAGCGTTAAGTTTTCCCCCCCTGCCTTTTCTTCTTCTTCTGAGTTCCATGCAAGTATATATTTCACCTTTTCTTTTTCGCTTCCTCCGAGTTCAAATGCCATACAGAAAAAGACTAACGTCGTTAAGACACGGCTTTCCAGCTGAGTTTTCCGTGTTTCAAGAAACCCCAACCAGCAAGTTACGCCGTTAAAGAAATAGGACGCCGTATCTCGATCTCATGGACATTGGCGAACCATCGTGCATCATAGTAGCTGAATTGCCCACCCTCCGGGAACTCTTCCAGCTCGAAGATGACGCGGAGAGGGAAGCCGCCGGCTACGACAGTATCGCGACGGAGTACCACACGCCTGAACGGACTGATTCAAGTGTCGTGCCAGCTCGCTCGTCGTCTTTTGCGCTCACGTTCAATAATCTCACATACAGTGTGAAGGTCCGCCAGAGAATGAACTTCTCAGCGTGGTTCTCGCGACAAAGGAATAACCGTCTCGGAGCACCAGAAACTAAGATTCTTCTGAATGATATCTCCGGCGAGGCTCGCGACGGTGAGATTCTTGCCGTTATGGGAGCTAGTGGTTCAGGGAAATCCACTCTGATTGACGCCTTGGCCAACCGAATAGCTAAAGGCAGCTTGAAAGGGAGCGTGAGATTGAACGGCGAGGCCTTAGAATCGCGGCTTCTGAAAGCAATTTCAGCCTATGTAATGCAAGATGACCTTCTCTTCCCGATGCTCACAGTGGAAGAGACTCTAATGTTCGCAGCTGAATTCCGATTACCATGCAGTCTCTCTAGATCCAAGAAGAAGATGCGAGTACAAGCTCTGATCGACCAGCTCGACCTCAGAAACGCAGCGAAAACCGTCATCGGCGATGAAGGCCACCGTGGTGTGTCCGGCGGCGAACGACGGCGTGTCTCCATCGGCATTGATATAATCCACGACCCGATCATATTGTTCCTCGATGAACCTACATCGGGACTGGATTCCACGAGCGCATTCACGGTGGTGAAGGTCTTGCAGACAGTTGCACACACCGGAAGCATCGTCGTCATGGCCATCCACCAACCGAGTTCGCGAATTCTTGGTCTTATCGACAGAATAATCTTCTTATCTCGCGGGGAAATTGTGTTCAGTGGTTCGCCTATGCAACTTCCCCACTTCTTCGCTGAATTTGAACACCCGATTCCAGAAAATGAGAACCAAACCGAGTTTGCATTGGACCTGATTCACGAGCTAGAAGGTGAGATGCTTTCTATATCCAAATCTATAAATGCGGAATAACACAATCCTGTTCAGTACAAGTCAAAGTTAGGGCTAAGGTGAATTAATGTCGGGCCTGGGGCCACTTCTCTATTTAACTGTTCTTCTGATTATTAGATTTTAATAAAATAAGATGATATTCTGTAATTATACTATTTTTCTAGGAAAAAATTGCAGATTTTTCTTTTTTTTGAAAGAAATCTTAAAATAAAAATACAATCCTCCATCATTTTATAACTGTAAAATATTAGAACATCTGTCATTTATTTAGAAGATAATAATGAAAAAATAAAAAATAAATAGAAAGATAGAACATTATTTTTTTCCTGGTGGAAGAAAGATAGAACATTAGAGTCTGAATATTATAATCTACTTGTGTGGTAATTGACTAGATGAAAGAAAAAATTATTGTGGAGTACTACAATATATTAGCAACATATAGATATTACTCCTCTAGTCCTAAATATAAGACCTTTATATACATTAGTATAAGGGTATTATATTTAGAATCGGAGAAGTACATCATCTATTATTCAAGAGAAACTTGTCATTTGCAAACTCAGGCTACCTTTTGGTAATTCAATTGCTTAGTGGGACTGTATTTTCCTTATATAAAACCAAGTGATGATAGTTTTATATGGAACTCACTCAGTTATTAATTGACTATTTGCATAGTGTGTATATGCTGTTTGTTTAATTGCAAAGGCTGGTTAGGACAATATCCATTCGTATTCGTATGGCCTAGTTGAAAACAAACTATTGGGAATGTTATATAGGAAAAGGGACTAGAAAATCTTGTGTCTATAATATCATCGTGCCTTTCTGCAAGTGATTATTGATATTGACGATAATGTATATCTCTCAGAGGGGTCATCTAGTGGAACTCATAGATTGGTGGAATTTAACAAGTCGTGGCAGAGCAAGAAGCAGTCGGGAAGTAATAGTGGCCCATCAGAAGGTGACTATCACCATGGATTATCATTGAAAGAAGCGATCAATACAAGCATGTCGAGGGGAAAACTAGTGTCAGGAATCACAAAAACAAGTGATAATAACGCAGTAATAAGATCATCATCAACTTCAAAGGTACCAACATTTGCGAACCCAATGCTGATCGAAGTGGCAAAGCTCTCAATACGATCATACACCAATTCACGAAGAACGCCTGAAATATTCCGGACCCGATTGGCCATAGTACTCATCACTGGCTCACTTTTAGCTTCAGTGTTTTGGCGTTTAGATGATTCTCCAAAAGGGGTTCAAGAAAGGCTTAGCTTCTTCGCTTTCGCCATGTCTTCCACCTTCTACACTACAGCAGAAGCTCTCCCTTTGTTCCTTCAAGATCGATATATTTTCATGAGAGAAACTGCTTACAACACTTACCGCAGGTCCTCTTATATCGTCTCTCACGCTCTTGTGTCCTTACCTTCTTTGCTTGTCCTCTCATTAGCTTTCGCAGCGACGACGTTTTGGGCAGTGGGGCTTGATGGAGGATGGTTCGGTTTCTTGTTCTATTTCGTCTTCATATTTGCTTCTTTCTGGGCAGGTAATTCCTTCGTCACCTTCCTCTCTGGTGTGCTACCTCACGTGATGGTCGGATATACCATAGTGGTGAAGTCCTTAGCATATTTCTTGCTGTTCAGTGGATTCTTCATTAACAGAGACAGAATTCCAGTTTATTGGATTTGGTTTCACTACTTGTCTTTGGTGAAATACCCATATGAAGCTGTGATGCAGAACGAGTTTGATGACCCAGTGAGTTGCTTTATGAGAGGGGTTCAGGTTTTCGATAACACTCCACTCGGCGAGTTGCCGGGTTCCGTGAAACTGAAGCTATTACAGAGCTTGAGTGCTACATTAGGGACAAATATAACGAGCTCAACGTGCTTGACGAGAGGCAGTGATATATTGCAGCAGAATGGGATAACTCAGCTAAGCAAATGGAACTGTTTGTGGGTAACAGTGGGTTGGGGATTTTTGTTTAGGGCTCTGTTTTACTTCTCGTTGTTGCTAGGGAGCAAGAATAAGAGGAGATAATTGCCAATGACTTGGTTTTGGGAAACTAATTAAGCTTACAACAGTTATGTATTCCTACATTTTAGGGTCTGACATTCTTTATTCTTTTTTCCTTTTGTTATACTGTACAATGTGGACACTTGGTTGGAAATACAGAGTAATTGATGTATTGGTCCTTTATTCTTTTTTCCTTTTGTTATACTGTACAATGTGGACACTTGGTTGGAAATACAGAGTAATTGATGTATTGGTTTGTTATTTTTCCTAATACATATATAATCTTTGTTAAAATTACTGTATAGATCTATGTAAGCAATTAATTAATCGTTAAAATGTTCCCCAACAAGTAAGCACATGACAATAATAAGATTTGATACCAGAAATAACAATTGGTCATGACATAGTGACGATTTAAAAAACTTTTATTAGATTGTTTGTGTGGAGCTGCCCAATAATTTTCTCAAGATCTTTCCCATCGCCAGCTACCGGCGATGCTTCTCTCTCTCTAGCTTTATACTCTCTTTCTGATCCTAAATATAGGACCCATTTTGTAGTATAATTAGAATCGGAGGAGTACTACTTCTGATTTTTAATATAAAAGTTAGTTAACTAATTTGAATAAATTAAAAAAATTAGTTAAATTAGTTATTTGTGTTATTTATAATAAATGAGTGTTGTCTTCTCTAAAATATTCTTGTTAATTATGTGTATTAACTACAATATTTAATATGTGCAACTATTACAATGATTATATTAAAAAAATGGATAAATATAAAAGATGTGGATTAGGGTCTTATAATTAAGATTAAATTGAATGTCAAGTTAGCTCTTATATTAAGGTAAGATGTAGCATATAGGATTCTACATTATTTCTTCAGCATCCATTTTCTTTAGCTTTCATAATAATGTGTTACTCTAGCTGTTCTCTTGGTGATGGTTTCTCAAGAATTTCCTCTTTATTTTTCAGTCATTTTTTCCTCTTAATCCCTCTATGCTTTTTTTTTCCCAAAAAAAATATTGTATGCATAATCTTTTTATAACAGGAAAATGAACTCCATGGTTGATCTTACAAATAGAGTTATTGACGAAATTTGTTCATCCTCATTCCCAACCCTTCGACGAAATTTAATAAGCGAAGAAAATGGATATAATCTCAAGTCATTAATATTTATCCCTCCAATTCCACAAAAAGACTATTCCTAGATTTAAAAAATCAATCCAATATCCATCTCTTCAAGCACATGTCAACAAGGGTATACTTATTCTCACTCTTTGCTCCGTTCGATGTTGTAGTGTCTACTCTATTCTTACAGTCGATTTTGATGTTACTGGTCCGATCTTAAATAAAACATTCATTCTAAAAAATGAGTTTTATATATTTAGAACCGAAGAAGTATTATTGATCAGAAAGTTATTCTCATATTATTGGTTAATTTTACTCATCTAATCCTATTTATAAGTCACTTCCAACATGTTTGACACACATCAAGAAAAAACTTAAATTTCATTAACTCTTATTTAAAATTCAACAACTTTCTAATTTAATCCTTATTTAATATATATTGTACTTCATGTAAACAAAGTCAATACAATAATAAATAAATGATAAAATCATACATCTATACAAAAAATTTCTCTCAGTGCCTTATAAATAAGACCAAAAAATATCTTCTTTCCCTGTTCTATGAATAGGACAAGAGGAGTATATCGTTTGCTTTTTCCACACATGTAATGGGATTACTCACACAAATAATTCATTTTTAAATTAGCTTCATGCAAATTGTTGGCTTTAAATTAGTAATATGAATGATCATTTACAATTCCATTCATTAAAATGTTACTCTTTTGGTTCTACTTATAGCTCATTTTTAACATGATTCACACAGATCAAGAAAAATATTAAATTATATTAAATTTGCATTAAAATTTAATAACTTTTTAATTTTATCTCTATTTAATATAATATAATATAATATATAATATAATATTACATTAAAAAAGTCAATATAATAATAAATGAAAAGGTAAAATTGTACATCTATATGAAAATTTTTCCTGAGTCTTTTAAATGGGACAAAAAAATTTTATTTTCTTTTTTTGTCCTACAAATAAAATCACATGAGTATATTAGCAGTTGGGGTCAAGGGTTAAAAAGGAAAATACATGTCAAGACTTCTATGTGATTAAGGAAAAATGCTGAATTCTTAATATGCGTGATATTGTTGTAAATGTCCTATATTATATTTTAAACCGGACGAAGTTTCTCTCGACTCCATTTTCTCTTAATTATATATTTTCCCCTTCTATCTGTTTAACTCTGTTTTTGTCCCAAGGAAAAAGCACAGATTAAAAAAACAGTAAACAGATTTAAAAAAAAAACAGTACTAAAAGTAAAAAGGTGATTTTTTTGTCTTATTTATTTAGGTAGCTTATATATATGAATTAATTTTTTAATGAAATGCCTTCTTCTTACCGTTATTTATTATTATGGTGCGAAGAAATCAGAGTAACAACCGGGGACCAATATTTGATGACATGGCAGCCATATCAGCTAATTATTTGATAGCTCAGGAAAAAGTCAACAGCGTTATGAAATGGGGACGCGTAAATTAAAAATTGGGTAAAATTATTATTAATGCTACTACGTAGATAATTTCATGTAGTAGGTAAATGACTAGTCAAAGACTCAAAGTGCCCATGATTAACATATTAGCCAAATTCACCTAAAAAGAGCTATGTTTTTTAATTTTTGGTCAGACACCTAAAAAGAGCTATTACTCATATAATTTATACAATTATTTTGTATTAATATAATTTTTAGTTTTCAAGTTTTTTTTATCTTAGTTTTAGTTTTTCAAATTTTAAATCATAAGTTTTCATCTTTTAAAGAATAAAAAATCTAAATTTTTACTAAAATATAGGAACCAAAACTTATAGTTTAAAATTTAGAAAACCAAAATTAAAATAAAAACAAGCTTAAAAAAATTATATTAATCCCAACTATTTTTCATAATTTCGTAATATGTACTTACCCAAGAAATGTATCAAAAATTTACTATAAATAAAATTTGACATTCACGCATGTCTTTGACGGACAAAAAGTTCCTCTGGCCTTGGAGTTGCTTTATGATTAAGAAACTATTTTTTGGGGACGAAAATGACAAATATGTAAAATATCAGGGGGGGCCTAAGCAAACTGGTATTTTTAAAAACTGGGACGTTACTGCCTTTTTCCCAAACTCGCAAAACCACCACCAACTTACCCTTTTTATATCCTTATTGTACTATTATTGTTGAGAATGCATTAAGAAATTCTATTCCAGTCAAACCAAAATTGTTGAGACACAAATACTAAAAAGTACAAAATCATACTTGATAATTTCCTTAGCACATATACATGTATTGTTTTCACAATGGATGTTAATTATAACTTGAGTACCTTTTTTTTTTAATATGCAATTAAGGAAAGATACGCGTCTCTTAAAAACTAAGTGATTATTACCTTTCATGATGTATGAGGAAAAAAAAAAACTAAGTCATTAATTGAAAAAAAAATTACATAGGGCCTAAATTTTACAAATTAAATTTAAATTAATACTCTAGTCCAAAACTTAAAAATAAGAATTAGATAACCAATTTATATAAATTAAGACGATTATTTAAATTAATTATTTGTAAAAAAATGTAAGTTAGTTTTCCTAACCCTAAAAACAACCCAATTACACCAATTGGTATGCCTAATCAATAGAGATGATTTGAAAAAAAATAACAAATATCTGAGATAAAGAGAATTAGGAGTTTTACATTTATAATTAAAGCTTAATCCTTAATTAGCTCCTATATCTCAAAAATCATAATTATTTCCAACTAAAAATTAATATAATGTTTTACGAGACTTGCAGTCATTTTTTTAAAAGTAAATATTCAAAATTTTTAAGATCCTTTATTCTTTTTAAACAAAAAAATTATACTAACTTTTTGAAGATAATTTAATTTAATTTTTTGTAAAATACCAATTCAACAAGATACAGCCTTGATGAGCCAACTGTAATATACCAATAAAAAAAAACAGAATTGAATTTTACCGCAATATTGATCATCTAGAAGCCAATTACGCAACATCCTTAATCCTATAAATGAACCGCACACCCTTAAAATAAGTAGATCAACCCTCAACCTAATTCTCATAAACCCCAAAAGTTTCCCAAATGGGCCAACACACACCCATTACGCCACGTGTCACCACTATCCAATACCTAACTTCCACGTGCACCGCAGCCTCCTTTCGAGAAAAAAATTAAAGACTCAGATTAAGAATTGTAGGTCACCTCTCTCACACCTCCCTCACCTTCACAAGTTAACGTATAATAATATCTCTCGCGCCCTCCATTAATTCTTGCTTCATTCCTTCAAGTTTCCAACCCGCCCCCCCTTCTCTCTCTCTCTCTTCATTCATATATATTCAGAAAAAGCCACAATCACATTTCAAGTTTCAACAACTTTCTCAGGCTGTTAAGTCACGTATCTCTCTCATCTGCATGTTCTTCAAATTTATTATCAAGGTTGAAGTTCTTGAGGCTGCAGCTTTTCCATTCAAGCATGTTGTCTTGTGGAGGGGAAAATCATGGGAGGAGAAATATGGTGTCGTGTTTTCGTGTTGTTGAGCCTGAGGATTCACCACGCTCCGCCCCGCCGACCCTTGGACAGTTTTTGAATTATTACGGGGACGTTCGGAAGGAAGAATCAGGTGATGGGGGCGACACGCCGGAGCACCGTGCACTTGATATGACTGACGTCGGACTTGAGCAGCGCTCTGTGCCTTTTGTGCTCGAGTTTAGCAACCTCATGTACAGTGTGAAGGTTCGCCGGAAAATGAGCTTCTCAATGCTTTATCCGAAGTTGAAGGGAGCGGCCGCGGCGGATGATGGAACTAAGACTCTGCTGAATGATATCTCCGGAGAGGCACGCGACGGAGAGATCCTCGCCGTTATGGGGGCTAGCGGGTCAGGGAAATCAACTCTGATCGACGCCTTGGCTAATCGAATTGCCAAGGGAAGCTTGAAAGGAAAAGTGACGTTGAACGGCGAGGCCTTAGAATCGCGGCTTCTGAAAGTGATATCGGCATATGTAATGCAAGACGATCTTCTCTTTCCGATGCTCACGGTGGAAGAGACTCTGATGTTCGCCGCCGATTTCCGATTGCCTCGCACGCTCTCAAGGTCCAAGAAGAAGATGCGAGTACAAGCTCTCATCGACCAGCTCGGTCTCAGGAATGCCGCCAAAACCGTCATTGGCGACGAAGGCCACCGAGGGGTTTCCGGCGGCGAACGTCGCCGTGTCTCCATAGGCATTGACATAATCCACGACCCCATCATCTTGTTCCTCGACGAACCAACCTCAGGGCTCGATTCCACAAGCGCATACATGGTGGTGAAGGTTTTGCAGAGAATCGCACACACCGGAAGCATCGTGATCATGTCCGTGCACCAACCTAGCTCCCGACTCCTCGGACTCCTCGACAGAATGATCTTCTTGTCTCGCGGCCAAACAGTGTTCAGTGGCTCACCCATGCAACTTCCGATCTTCTTCTCTGAATTCGGACACCCAATACCAGAAAACGAGAACCGAACCGAGTTCGCTCTGGACCTGATTCGCGAGCTCGAATCCTCACCTGGGGGAACAAAGAGCTTGGTCGAGTTCAACAAGTCGTGGCAAAGCATCATGAATCATCCAGGAATCAGAAACGAGAAGATTAATCAGAACGATTTGTCTCTGAAAGAAGCCATTAGTGCGAGCATCTCCAGAGGAAAACTGGTTTCAGGTGCGACAAACACCAACAACGTAAGCCCAACTTCGATGGTTCCAACGTTCGCGAATCCATTCTGGGTTGAAATGGTGAAACTTTCGAAAAGATCATTCACCAATTCACGTAGAATGCCTGAACTGTTTGGGATTCGATTGGCTGCCATTTTAGTAACTGGGTTTATTCTCGCCACCATGTTTTGGCAATTAGATAACTCTCCAAAAGGCGTCCAAGAAAGACTCGGCTTCTTCGCTTTCGCCATGTCCACCACTTTCTACACCACCGCCGACGCACTTCCGGTGTTCCTCCAAGAACGATACATTTTCATGAGAGAAACTGCTCACAACGCTTACCGGCGATCATCCTATCTCATATCCCACGCCCTGGTTTCGCTACCTGCATTGCTTATACTCTCACTGGCTTTTGCAGCGACGACGTTTTGGGCGGTGGGGCTCGACGGAGGATTACAAGGGTTCTTCTTCTACTTCCTCGTCATCTTCGCTTCGTTCTGGGCCGGAAACTCCTTCGTCACCTTCCTCTCCGGCGTAGTACCTCACGTGATGCTGGGATACACAATAGTGGTAGCTATCTTAGCATATTTCTTACTGTTCAGTGGATTCTTCATCAACAGAGACAGAATCCCAAGTTACTGGATTTGGTTTCATTACTTGTCTCTTGTGAAGTACCCATATGAAGCTGTTCTACAGAACGAGTTTGATGATCCAGTGAAGTGTTTCGTAAGAGGGGTTCAAATTTTTGATAATACGCCGCTTGGGGTTGTGCCAGGATCAACGAAATTGAAGTTATTGGAGAGTTTGAGCAGCACTTTGGGGACGAACATAACCAGTTCAACGTGTTTGACGACAGGTTCTGATATATTGCAGCAGAATGGGATTACACAGTTGAGCAAGTGGAATTGCTTGTGGGTTACAGTGGGTTGGGGATTCTTGTTTAGGATTCTCTTTTACTTCTCTTTGTTGTTGGGAAGTAAGAACAAGAGGAGGTGATGATGATAATAACGACTTGGTTTTGTTAAAATCAAGGGCTTTCATATTCTTTTGTTTTCTTTTATTACGTTTGTAACTGGTCTTGTAATAAGTGTTTGTGATATATGGTACCAAACCAAGCATTTGATTAATTACATGAACAATTATTTATTGCTTTGGCGTTCATGTTTTTTTTTAACTTCAATTAATAAAAAATTAATGATTCAAAAATCATCTTGTGCTTCTGGTTTTAGAAGAGGCGGCGCTGATAACAATCTAATATTACAAACGGAGCATACGTCGTTTTTACTAAGGCAGATTACCTAACTATGTTTTCAAAGGAAAAGGTTGACTATGTTTAAAATGAAGTTTAAGTGCAAAATATTATTTGACTATGCTATTTGCATTGCTAATGACTTCATTATAAAGAATTTTGATTTTTGAGCCATTCCATTAATTGATGTCAACTTTCTGTGGGATAAAGATGATACGTTGTTCACCGAAGCTGATTAGACAATTGAGTGCATACGTGGTTAACTCTTAAAACCACAAAAGAACAATCTGTATATAGATTCTATATCCTCAATATAGAAATTAAATAATTAGTTGGCAGGGATTAAAAGCATCAGTTAAATTAATTACTTGTGAAAAATGTGTTTCATTCCTTGAAGGAAATTATTATTTTTTGTTTTGGAAATGTTTTAATATATACAATTAATATAGTGAGAGTTTATGAAAAGAAATATAAATTTAGAAAACAAAATGAATTAACATTTTACATTTAGAATCAAAGCAAATTCTAATTCTAACAGGACCATAAATTAAGCCTCATTGAAAACCAGAAACTTCACGAGATATTTTTCATAAAACAAAAAATGTAACGAAGTTTAAAGACTTCAGGAATCTCACCTTAAGAAGTCCGTGTTCAGAATGACCTAACAATGACTGGACACTGGAGAGTTGCATGAACCTCACAGGTGGTAACAGTGTTTTGGAGAAATCAACCAAAACACGCTTCCATTGATGTCAAAGGTTGGGTTACTCAAATTTCCACTGTTTAAACAATATTTCAGGGTTTTCGTCTGTGACATAGCTGTTTCACTATTCTTGCCCTCTACGTTGATCTGTGCTACAGCATTTAACTTCCAGCCCAAGCTATTCCAAACACTGATCAATTCAAACAGTAAAAGTCTTACCACACTAACTACAACCAACATGCTCAACAGACTAATACCACAACTGAGGACAGAAACAGTCAGCAGAGTTGTAAGCACTGAATTCCTCTTCCATGTCATTGTGCTATTATAAATTTCTGACTTAAATATACATGTCACGTGAGATCCAAATGAGTAAATGGCATGCCATTGGAATACACCTTTATTTCTTTCATGTACTGTGGGTGCACCCAAAACTGCTTTTGAAGTATCTAATCTATGAGATTATACGCTACAGAGGAGGGAAAAAAACCATGTGGTGTAGGACTCAAATGAAATTAGACACATGATCTGCTGCCATACTTGAGAACCGCCTTGCGCCTTTTCACAACCAAACCAGATGATGAAGATACTGTTGCTTGGCACTGAAAAGGAGTATTGAATGTGGACTTCTAGTCTGGCCAGTGAACTTGTTCATCTTAAACTAACGAGTCAACCTACTCCATCAGCCCACTTAATGCCGCTTCCTCAGATTCAGCATCAAGTTCTTGCTCCACACCTTTAACCTGTAATTGAACCATTGGCGGTCTAAAGGTAAATCACCAATTTCTAGATCAAATAACCAGTTAGAAAATTGAACTCCAGAGATAAACAGATTGAAATAACTTCCAAAACTTGGATAATCTAGGAGCTCCCATATAAGTTATTCAATGATGTAAACTCCGCAAAACTTACTATGTCAATTGTTCATCGCATGGTTGTCAAAATTGAGATTTATAAAATTGTACAAGTGTAAGAGTATGGGTTAAGAAAATATATCGATTAGCAGACTCCATTTTCAATAATTTCGTAAGCTCCAAGTTGAGTAGTTCATAAAAATCTAACAATGGGGCTTGTTTCATTGGTTTCTCCTCACCCAACTCAATTCTAAACAAGCCCCTAATAGAGGAAGGTGGTTTGCCCGGCTGTGTTTTCCCCCATTCACACTGCAAAGCCACAATTCTGCAACATCTCCAAAACATCCACAAGCATTCATGTTTCTATGGACATGCACTCAAAATTTACACAAGAATATGGTTATAAAAGACAATTCGCCTTCCCAATGCAGTATGACTGCCAAAGGGAGATCTCCAAGCTGGTTATTCATTTTGATGAATGCAGGAATTTCATGATAAAAAGTTATCAGAGAACTTATTACCTCTGGTACGTAATGCATCAGCATGTTCTCAATACCAGATTTCAGTGTCACAGATGAACTTGGGCAGCCACTGCACGCTCCTTGCATTTTAAGTTTCACAATTCCAGTTTCTCTGAAGAAAAGAGAAAATTGATTAAACATAAGTAAGAAAATATCACCTATATAGATGTGTTCCTCAAGCTTTCATGAAAGTTCTTTCAAACCAATAAAAAGGTGCAAGAAGAACTTACTCATCAAAACCTCGATACTCAATGTCCCCACCATCATCTTGCACAGCTGGTCGAATACGAGTTTCCAATAATTCCTTGATCATAGCAACTATTTCAGAATCATCCTGCACGGAAACCATGTATACAGGTCAGTCAAGAGCCTCTCATGTGGTTAATGCACATTTGTCCGTCTGTCAAATACTCTTCATGCAACTTAGAAATGTTACAGCACATTCATAAATTATTAGACACTGAGAAAGACTTTTGGGGTGGGGAGGGACTCATCTACAAGCAAATTTATGAAAAAGGATAACGCACCAATGATGAATTTTAGTGCTAGTTTATATTAACAAACAAAAAAAGGTATTGGGAAAAAAAAAACAATTCAATTCTAACTTAACATCTCCATGCTAGTCTTAATTATAGAAATCGATTCTATTGTGATGCTACAATGACTCATAAGATGTGGTTAAATTGCTCCAAGGAAGAGTAGCAGGACAGGGTGGAGGTGGGAGAAAGGGAGGGCAAAGGAAAATGACAGCCTGATTACAGTGTCTTCCTCTCATAAGTATGAAGTGTATAACTACTGTAGTCAGCCAAGCTTATTAGTATGCAATATATCCCAGAAAACAGAGTACTATCCAGATTCGACAATGTTCCATGCCTTGAAATGTAAAGGCAAAGAAAGAGCTAAAAGGAACAAAGAATCAGTTCAAAGCATCTAAAATCAAATATTAGAATATTTACTTCTTGAATAGCTGTATCCTTGGCCGCTGCAGCTTGTGAGTCTAAAAACAGTGGCTGCCCTGAAGAATAGAAGTCCATAATTGCTGCAAAGATCTCAGGCTTCAGGATGTCCCAAGAAAAATCATCTGATTTTGTAACAGTGACAAAGTCTGATCCAAAGAAAACCCGAGTTATACCTGCATTACAAGGGACAAGAATACTTTTAGGTTTAACCTATATAATTTGGAGGTGTCCACGGCGTTAGACAAGGAAATGCTGACTAAGATAAAGAAATTTCTTTCAATGAAATCTTTTCTCGGAAGCCACAGAGAAAAAGCAGAGGGAAGGAAGCTATTTAACCACCAAGGAAGTTGTGAAGAAAAACTGCAAGGACATACGACCCCATGAATTATAACCATGGTCATTCAGATAACAGAAACTCTGGGAAGACAAACATGTGGTTGACAGATCCTAAGTATCCTTCCTTAATAACAGATCATGGCATTCCATATTAAATTTTAATTTTTGATTAAAAGGTTGTTATCAATTATCTTTATCTTAATTGGTAATGTTTCCTCAAAGCAATGTAACCACATTACAAGTTCCGGCACAAGAGCCCTCTCACTGGCAGTTCGGCACTTCAAAATTTACGCTGAAGTCCACTAAGGTCCAGGGAAGCATTTTTTGATTTGAGAGAGAAACATAAATATTCTAGTTCATGGATTAGCAACTATCTTAGTTATAGCCTTATAGAAACAAAGGTCTTAGTCTATTTAATTAATTTAAAATTTTGCAATTTAATATAACAAAATAGAGATTTTAATTGGAGTCCGCACAAAATAAAAGCTACCATGTAATCTGTACTATCTTGCTTCTAGTTTTATTCCCTGCTTCTATCTCCTCTATTCTCCTTCCATCCCTTGTCTCTCTTTCATTAAGTTACTTATATACCAACTTTTTGTGTCAAAATTGATTTCATTTGGAACATGTTGATCCACTTTTAGTGGCGATAAATTTAAAGCAAATAAAATAATGATGATACAAGTGACAGACTGTTTAGAAAATGCGATGTTTTTGCAGATGAGGCAAAAAAAAAAGGTTCCTCTAAGAAGTAAGAAGCCAAAGATAACATAAGATAATCATACCATCTATTCCAAAAAGTGCTTTTGCTAATGGAGAATTCATAGCAGAACGAGCATTTGGAAAGTCTGCACTTCCAACTTCCATAACAGGCTTCCCAGGGTAAAACATTAGTGATGAAGGATTGGGAGTGGACTGTGTTTGGATAAACATGGTCCTCCTTTGACCTGTCCAAATAAGAAGGAACAATCATTTTTAGTGCTCAGCTACCACAGCCAAATCTCAAAAAACTTCATATACCGCCTATAAGTAAAAACCAACAAGATTAGCCTTTTGTGTTGTCTCAAAGTAAATCATGACCCTAGAAATCAATAACTGACCATAAATTGAATATCCTAGTTCACGACTAAGACGGGGTTTCAACTAAATTAGAGCAGTAAGGAGCATAAACGTCATTCAGATTCAATAAAAATATCACTATTATAAAAAATCATATCTGCTTTCGCTGCAGCAATTTCCATCGAACCCTATTTTCTCCTCAGCAGCAAAGAAAATGCATAGACGAAACTCAAATGACGCAATAAAGCTTGTTTTTATCATAGCTTGAAGCCCCAGACACCAGAGAGTCTCAATTTTTTTTTTCCCATTTTGGGGACCCCTTTTGCCAACAATAAAACATGATAAACAGAAAGTCCTACAATCTGGTTTATTTCTACATACTCCTGAAGAGTTACTTTTGCCGCCAACACGGCAGAGTGCATTTATGATCTCAAAGAGCATCTATCAGAAGACAAAAACGTACCACCAAAAGGTGTCCATTTCTTCCTATATAGAGAATCTACAGAGGAAGATTGCAACGATGAAAATCCATAGGTAGATGAAGCATTTCGGCTCCCTCGAAACGATGTCGCTGATGAGGCAAATCGAATGGGACGGCGAGATATGAATATGAGGCCATGTTCATTCGCAGCTGCTTTCGATGTATGAACCTGAAGAACTCGTCCGGCTAATCGCCCAAAACCCCTCATCCCTGGTTCTCTGTAATCGCAAGCCCCGTTTCGGTCAGAAAGTGTTCTCGATTCTCAAATGTTTACCACGCGGTTCGATTGCATTATAATGTCATTTTGTACAAATGGAAACTTGGAATATTCTTACCAAAAAAATTAGGGGAAATTACAAAAAAATCCCTTAGAATTGTAAAAACACAGATAGGGATCCTTGATAACTTCACTTTGGGTTTTGACAACTTCATGACATATTATTATTGTCAAAACCCAAAGTAAAGTTGTCAAGAGTCCCTATCTGCGTTTTTGCAATTCCAAGATCTTTTTTTGCAATTTTCTCAAAAAATTAAATACGCTGCAATTAAGTTCAAAATTAGTGATAAATTTTTCTTAAAATTAAACTTAATATAGAACCTAATTATTAAGTTGATTTTGGTCCTAAATATAAGATATATTTTTCATATTTATCAATTTTTCTTAAATTATCCTTATGGATACTCCCTCAACCATAATCAAGTAGAAAATGGAAAGAGGGTATTAAGGAAGATAATTTTGGTGTTTTAGGATAAACATGTCATATTTTTTATAATTAACTTATCTAACTTTCTTAATTTAATCAAATTAGTTAAATAGATTTTATATAAAGTATTGGATGATTATTTAAGAATATTTTATCAACAATTAAAATTTTAATATCACCATTTTTTATTAATGCTTTTAGAATAAAAAGATTAAAAATATACTTTTAAAAGTTAAGGGACCAAATTAAAATATTATATAAAGTCAAAGGATTAAAAGTATACTTTAGCTATATAAATATAAAGAAATTATCTTATTTTTTTATGCATATACAAGACTAAAATATTATTTTAATAAACTCAATTTAAGTAGTGATGAGGCGACTAACTAGTGTATATATGAGAAAAATTTATAAATTGAGAGGAAGACTTATAATTTATCACAGTTCCTTAATTTACACTCAATAAGAATAGTAAAGTCCTTGCAACTCAAATGATATCAAACACTTTTTTTTTTCCCCTCTAAAGGGTATAATCAACATGAGTCAAGACAAAAAAAACAGTGAAAAATAAATCCACTTATAAATTTTGAATACACTAGTAGCATTATAAATTAAAATATTTTTCTAAATTTTAAAAATACAAAAAGATGACACTAATTTTCAAAATGCTAAATTAATACTGAGGAGATTTTGAAATGTTAGTAATTTTACAATATTAATCCTTATTTTTTAAAACAATAATCAAGCTTCGTTACTACAGATTGCACCAATGACTAGCCAGAGTATTTAGATGGAAACCAAACCATGATTTTAAAAATATTTTTACAATATACAAAATAAATATGTAGAAGAGTTTGTATCGTTTTACAAAAAATTGTTTTTAAAAAACACTTTTGTACAATCCTGAACAGCACCTGAGACTCTAGCACTGACTATTTGCCCCGACCATCGCCAAGCCCCTAAAATATCGATATCAACAATAGGTGGCCATAAAAGCTCTAGCGATGGTAGCTTCTTTTTTTTTTTTTTCCCCAAATAAGAAGTAACATTGTAATATCACCAACATTTTAAAATATTATTTTAGTTAATTCATAAAAAAATATTTTAATTCTAAGTATCGATTAGGGATTTTGAAAATGGGTTTACCTTTTTTGGTTTTTGAAGTTCAAAAAATATTTTAGTGAAAATTTTCCAAATCAATACCGTAGCCCTTGTAGTTCTATAAATATCATCCCTCACAATGTGAAAACTTGAATTCCTCAAAAACATCAATTATATTTATACGTAGCCTTAAGCCTTGTGTGGTTTCCCTCAAAATCAAGAGACACAGAAGAAACTTTGTGACTCTACAATGCGAGCAATCGCACAACTTTGCTGAAGCTTTTGAGTTTCGCCAGCAACGATGGCATGGCCTCTCTCTTTTCTGTTTGTTTTCTCTCACCTTGTTCTCACATCCTCTGCTTTGATTACCCTTTTTTGTTCAAATTAGAAAGGTATTTGAGTAGAAATAAAACTATAATTTTAAAATATTTTTATAATATACGAAGTAAATATGTAAAGAAGTTTATTTTAATTTTAAAAAAATATTTTTTAAAAACATTTTTTAAATTATTTTTAGGACAAACTCCGCATGGAGAAAATCTTGATTCTTGTGCTCACTGAGAGAAGGAAAGCTCCCCGCCGCATCTAGATGATTGTCGATCCGCTAAGAAAGTCAAAATCTGAGAAGAAGAGAATGATGATTGAAACGTTGAGCTCATAACAACCAATGCTTCCCTCACTACTCTACAGAGATAGCTGGTCTGGATCGTTAATGTGATTAAATCGTAGCCATCCATTTCAATATTCTAAAAACACCTTCAGGACCCCTCAAATGTTTCGATCTTCTGCAACTTTTTGACACAGTCTGGTGGAAAATATTCTGAGAGGCAAGATATGATTAAAAAAAAAACTCATTTTTTCATAAAATATTATTATCTTTTAGATTTTTTTCACAGCTAAAATCACAAAAATCTCTGTTAAATGAATTTTTTAGATGTAAATTTCTCCCATTTAAAATGGATGTTTTTTCCTTATATATGTACTACCTCTAGTCTTAATTATAAGATTTCATTTATAGATTACAAGCAGTGTCTTATAATTAGGACCGAAGATAGTAGTTCATAGAAGATATAACATTGTACTTGTTTAACGTTATAAAAGATATAACTATTATATTTATATAATTACTACTATTTTCGGTTCTCAAGTATATATAAAACTCAATTGACTGATTTGAAAATATTAAATAAATTAAATAAATTATTTTAAAATATGATATTTATTGTTTTTCTTCAAAATAATTTGTTTAGCTTACAAATTGATATATAACGATATATATATTTTAGAAAGATAATATAGCATATGTTATAATTAAATATTTTTTAGTCTTTTAATTTTTTTAAAAATTAGTCAACTAAATTTTATATTAAAAAATGGAAGTATAATACTATTGATTATAAAAAATAAAAATGTTTTGTTAGAATACATCATGACTTCTTTGTTGTCAACGTTATGGTTGTTCTTCATTTTTGTTGCTTTTGCCTGTAAATTGGTTTTAGCTTCTAAATGTAAATTGGTTTTAGCTTCTGTGTATATTCGGTTGCAATAACAAAGATATTTTGTAATAAAAAAAGTTCCAGGCGGCACAGATTTTGTTTTTTGCTATTAGAAGTCAATATTTTTTGTTGATTATTTCTATTTAAGTTTAGCCATGATTTTTTTAATTAGTTTAAAAAAACAATAAATATAATAATTTGTTTAATCTTCTTAATACCTTCTAATTAATCAATTAACTAGGTTTTATATTAAGAAATGGAGATACTAGTAATTATGTAAATACAACATATAAATCTTTTACAATGTTAAACAAAAGCAATATAACATCTTCCATGAACTTCATAAGGAAAAATATCTATTTTAAATGGGATAAATTTACATCTTAAAAAAGAAAAATCCCAAAAAAATATATTTAAATTTTAATATTTCAAATCAATCTTATTTACTAAATTGTATTAGCAATTAGTAATATTCGACAAGTAAATGACAACAAATTTTTATAATTATTTCTGATTAAAATTTTTAAAATTTTAAAGGTATTTTTTGCAATTTTTTCTTTTAAAAATTTCTATAATGAATATTTTTTATGAAAAATGAGTTTTTTTTTTAATTCATATCTTGCGTCTCAGAATATTTCCTACCAAGCTATGCCCCAAGTCGTAGAAAATCGAAGGATTTGAGAGGTCCTGAAGGGGTTTTGAAAGTATTGAAATGAACAGATCAATGAACAGATACGATTAATCACACTGGCTCAGATCAGCTACTGATACTGAGAATGGAATTCTGAGCCTCTGAGGGGATCTGCTCCAAGCTAGCCACACTCTCTGCGACTCTGCCCATCTCACTCTCCACTCTTCAAATCTTGTCTGGAGCTTTTTCCTCTTCTTTCGTTCATCATCGTCGTCACCGTTGTTCGTACTTGAAGCTCGAAAAGGCGCCGTTTTGCCTCTTTTCCGTCGCTGCCGTGCCTCTTTTCCGTTGCAGTTGGTGCCATTGTTCCTCTTTTCCTTCTCCTCAGATGTGTTGATTGTGTGGTACTCTTCCTCTCTACCAAATCCTTGTGTGTTTGGGTTAAGAAGCTTGAATCATTCTTTTAGATCTGCTGTGATGCTGAGTGAGGGGCTTATGTTCTTCGTCCTTCTGCGACTCTGTGAGTGAGGGGCTGGATTTGTTTGAGTGTATCTCTATTCATGAAATTGCTGTTTGCTCCAAGTCCTGTGACTCCGATCGGTTATTTGATGAAGGTGTCGTGTGTTTGATTTGGTTGATTCCGGTACTTCCCATTGTTTCTTTTAATTTTGTTAGGGTTAGGGTTAGGGTTAGGTCTTTTAAATGAACCCGGTCCTTCCCAAATTTTTTTTTTTTTTTGGATTTGGTTGACTCCACGTTGTTTGATCATTTCCTTATTTATTTGAACAAATCTGATTTCATTCGTAGTTTACGGTTTGTTTTTTATTCTTATTACTGCTATGTTAGAATGCTTATCCGCTTTTGCTTCTGTTTCTTGCTATATTTCCAATATGAATCAGGGACATCCAGAACGCCATGAGGAGCAGATGGTGGGATTTCTACTGTGATTTCTTTGATTAAATTAGGTACATTCTACTCTCATGCAGATTTTTAAAAAAATTATTACCGGTTTTCAATTAAAATCAATAAATCTTACTTGACTTTGATTTGGCTTTTACATAATTCTTCCCTACAACACAATTGTATACGTTTCTTAAAAAAGAGTTAAGGAGAGGGGAAAGGGGGTTATGGGTTTTGTTTGCTCTAAGGGAACCAAGGGATGTGAGGGGAAGGGTCAGAGGGGAGAGAGGAGCGGAGCTAATTGCTTATCTTTTTATTTCAATTTGTTTGTTATTTATTACAGTATTTATTCTCCCTTTGCTCTCTCCCTCTCCTTCCATTCTCCCTTTGCTCTCTCACTCTAGCGTGCTTTTCCATCATAAACATCCACATTATAATCGATGATAGGAATTAGAGAAGAGATTAAGGATAAATGAATTTAGGCTAGAAGGTGCAATTGTTTAGAAATAATTGTAATTTGAGGCAAATTTAAAATACTAAATTACTTTTAACCACTTTTTAAATATTTACAAGATAAAAGATATCTTAGATAAGAGATACATTCATGGTATGAGATAGTAATTTTTTTAAAATAATTTTTAAACAGGAAATTGATTTTATTTATGTTCTCATTTATTTAAGACGAAAATTTAAAATATGATTTTGAAATAATAAAATATATACTGTTCTAATTAAATATGATTGGTTAAGATGAAAGTTACATAGTAATTCAAGTGAGATAGAATTTAATGTAAATTTTTATCTTCTTTTGTTTTGATTGAAGCAAGAAAGTTGTAATCTTAAATAATATCATAATAAAAATGTGATTTAATTTTATAAAGTATTTTTTATTTCTTTAATCCTATTTTCTTAACAAAAAGTGTTGACATTAAAATTTTAAATATTAACAGTCCTAAGTGGATAATCTAAATTGCATGTAAATAAGATAGTTAACTCACGCACCAAGCGCACATTCTCAAATTAGGGTCCAGAGTTAAACAAGGAGGAAGAAAAAGAAAAAAAGAAAAAAAAAAGAATTAATTGCCCTTGTGAGTTGGTGGGGACACTTCTAATCTAAGGTTTATGAGCTAGGGTGAAGATAGAGTTAAATTATGTTCTGCATTTGTTGAAGCACTTAATTCATCTCACTTGAGATAATGGCAAGAGTTATGAAATTTTTTAAATTAGTGACTTTCAGTGAAGGTTTTCAAGGGCAGCAAAAGTTGCTGCCAAATGGTTGTCATAGTGAACTTTTAATCGTTGGCTGAAGTTTAGAACATTTAATCCCAAATCTTTTGTTTATATGCATATTGAATATATAAAAAGAAAAAAATGGCATCATTGAAGTTCTACAACAATTGGCATGCAATTTATGAGAAAAGAAGATTTCTGAAATTGAAGAAATTCTCAGTACCAAAACAATAAGAGAGATCGAAGAACAACAGACGAATGTTGTGATAGAACTCTGCAATGTTCTGTTCCGGTTATGCTTCACCTGCAACTAATTTGGGACACGCATTTTGTGGCTTCATTTTTCTTTGAGCAGTGAACGCTATCTCTCACTTTGTGAATGATTCTGCATAGTTGTGAATTGGTGGTGGAAATTGGTCAGTATAGAGATGATGATGTCAGGTGGGGGAGGAGGAAGATCTTCTTCAACATCTTCATCGTCCTCATGGGCACCCGCAACTTCTTTCTCGGCATCGGGAAAGAGGATTCAGAGAGAAATGGTAGAGCTCAACAATGATCCCCCTCCTGATTGTTCTGCTGGACCAAAGGGTGACAATCTCTACCACTGGGTCGCAACTATAATTGGCCCTGAAGGTCTTAACATTTGCTCCTTATCTTTAGATTGAATATGTGTTTAATGTTCTTTGTTAGCAGTCTTCTTTTTTGCCTTTTTCATAGCTCTCTTGAAATATGAACATAGGGTTGTGGATGTTGGTTCCAATAGAATATGTGTCAGATTGTGATGGCTACTTCCACTAGATCGTTGCTAAATATTATAATGATTCAAGTTAATCAAGTTTACTGGAAGGTAGGGAATTTAATATCCAAATAAATTGAGAAATTAAAAGGTCGACTTCTAAATAAATTGTGACAATATCCCAAGAGAAAGTTATCTTTTGGTTTGTTATGAAACTATATGCCAAACATGTGATCAGGGTTGCTTATGCCTGCCAGATCGAAATTTTAACATGTTGAGCGAAGTTTGGTCTACCAACAAGGCCTGCATTCTTTTTAATGAAATTCAAAGCGTTTTAGTGATATGTGAACATAGGTTATCTACATGTTGCATTGGCATGAGAAGGCAATCTTGATAAACTTTCCTTTTGTTCCGTGTAGGGACACCTTATGAGGGTGGCATATTTTTCCTTGACATAATATTTCCAAGTGAATATCCCTTTAAGCCTCCGCAGGTATATTAAGCAACATTGTTCTTTGTCAAGTAGTTCTATTTAGTTATAATTGCTTTTTGCAAAATTGGAGTAATAGGGTGGCATATTTTTCCTTGACATAATATTTCCAAGTGAATATCCTTTTAAGCCTCCACAGGTATATTAAGCAACATTGTTCTTTGTCAAGTAGTTCGGTTTAGTTATAATTGCTTTTTGCAAAATTGGAGTAATCTTATCATTTGGCCGGGTGAGGTTAGAGATAAAAGAAGAGTACTTCATGAGTCATGACTAGAGAAAGGGAATATATTGTGTTTTTATAACTGTTTCAGATTGCATTGAACATGTCAATCTATTTCTCTTGTGTCGTTTTATTTTTCTTAGAATTTTTTTACTTATTTTTTTGGCTGAGGTAATAATTTCAAAATTTAGGCTACTGAATTATTTTATTTATCTTAGCCTTTCTAAACTTTCAACTTACCATAAGATGGAGGAGATTGAGGTCAAGGGAAGAGAAGAGAAATTTAATCATTGATTTAGTTACTTCTTTCAAAGTATGCTTGGATTGAGGAGATAAAATGGAAACACTGTTCATTCTAATTTAAACCAAGAAGAAAAATGAAAAATGAAAAAGTAAGGAAAATAAAAAAATCCGTCCCCTTCTTTCCTCATCCGTCCTCAATCCAAACATGTGTAATATATGCCAAATTGTGCAACAAATGTGAATCAAAGGGAGAAGCTAGATGAATGAGGGCACATAAGTTTTACCTTTTGGCTCTATACGGGGGAACTTTTACTGCCTGGCTTATGGTTTTTTTTTTTTTTTTTTTTTTTTTGGGGTTCTATTTTGTAATGTAAGTTGGTTGAGTTTGGATTACTGAATGTTGAATGGTAACTTGTTAGTGGTCTCTCAAGTCTGGAATGTTGAGTGATAACTTGTTAGTGGTCTCTCAAGTTTGGTTTATTTGTTTGGCTTTGTTCCTCAAACAAGCAATCTTGGCTTGCAGGTCGTATGCAAGACTCGCATTTACCATTGCAATATAGAGACTACTGGCCGAGTTAGTTTGGGTATATTGAAGGATGGTTGGAGTCCTACACTAACTATTACTAAAGTGCTACTTGCTGTTAGATCGATTTTGATAAATCCTGACCCTTGTAAGTCATCCTGGTTCTTTCTGAATCAATTTGAGAAATTAATGGGACGTCTTAATTTTCTAAAAATAGAAGTTGATATAATGCTGCACATTGTGTATTGCGACTCAACTGGATTGATGCTTTTTGTTTCAAGTCTTTAGTCTGAGTCAAGTAGATTTCCAGAGTTAGATATGTGTTAGTATTGGTGATGCCAAGGCCTATTATAACTTTTATACTGAGAATCTATGTCTGTCTTTGGAGTGAAGTAGTAGGATGTTATTGGTATTGCAGATAATGCGGCTGTCCCTGGTGTTGCCCACCTGTATTTGGGAGATAAAGCAAAGCATGATGATATTGCTGTAGAGTGGACGCTTCGATTTGCAAAATGAATGTTATGACTGTGATCACATACATTAGTGTGCAATAACTGTGATCACATCATCACCTGTCGCTATCACAAGCTTTGTCACAAGTCGTGTCTTGAGTGCACAATATTGCACTTGGTACAAGCGACGATGACACCAAACAGTGCATATTGTCGGGTAGAAAGTTTCAGTCAGCTTCAGGTTTTATTAGTCTGCATATGATTGTATTATTTCAGTCAATACATCTATCAGCTTCGCTATTTTAATACCTAGTTCTAGTCAAAATGTGATGTCTTGCTTCGATTGTAAACTTTCACTGCTTCACACGCCTTTTTCCCCTTGAAAGAACATATAAAAACAGGTAGTGCACTAAATGGTCATGACCGCAACATGTGAGCCGGTATGATTTATGGGGAAGATCAACAGCGGGCAAGTTGAAATGATGATGATTTTGAATGGGCCATAAGACTCGTAGCGTAAAACAATACGGACTACAATCTCTGGGGCTAGCATTAAAAGGCAGCCCATTTAGGGATAAAGTAAAACGCATGTCCGTATGTAGTCATTGTAAACAATAACTGATTGAAGATGTGTTTCAAACTCTTGTTCAATATTAGTGGTTGCAGGCTTAACAGGGACGGGGCCTAAGGGAAAAAACATATAATATAATACAAATAAAACATTCATATAGCGTCTAATATAATTAAATAATTTAATTTTTTTAATTGTTTAAATTAATCGAGTTTTATGTTGAAAACTGAGTGGTATATAAAGTATTGATGAATACGTCTCAACGAAGAAAGTGGTATATTCTATGTAGTTGAAAAACTTCCAAAAATGGCATATCTCAAAATTGCTAGACAAGTTATCAAATCATTTTTTGGGGGGGGGGGGGGGACAAATGTTCCTGTATCTCAAACTCTTGGGAACAAATAAATGAATAATAAATATTTAAAATACAAGAATATATCTAGAACCCATTAAAAAATTGCGACCAAACCTCTCAACTATGAATGGTACAATTCAGGTCATATTTCTTGCAAAATCCCAACACAACTCAGTTGTCTACTAAATGCGACCAAATCAATCAATATATCAACTTATAGTAGATTTTATTACACTGTTACTTTATATGATCAATTTCTTTAACTTTAGTCTTTGGTCATTTCCTCTTGATCTCTCTTTTTGGGTCATTAATATTAAAAATAAACAGAAGTTTTCAAACTCAATCCAGAGTTGCTCTATACAAGAATCAAACTAGATCTAGTTGATTTTCTATGTTCATCTCTTAATATACAAATCAAAATCCCACAAATCACACCCACCAATGAGTAATTTTATGTCCCGGCCAAACGAAAGGCCATAATAATAATAATCATCATCATCATCATATGTTAGTTCAAGACTTTGCACCTTTTGGCATGAAAATCACAGCCAGCATACACCTCTAAGCCTGTTTGGCTCAGTTGATTTTCTTCAAAGCAGGCACAACGTTTACTCATTTTTCCAGTCAAAGCAATCTCAAGAGGCCTCTGAACAAGCCTCGGGAAGCCGGCATCACACCATACCTGATCACAGGTGCAATCTGTTATACAACTGAGTAGATTCAAGTATACTTTCTTCTAAACATGAATGGGATGTATAATGAAGTATCAATTTACATTAGCCAATGACGATTCATGTCATAATAATATGACTTATCACACAAACCAACGTTTCATATGTTTGCATACAATTACAGGATGGCTGGATAAACCAAAAAAATTATCTACCAGAGAATGTTTAATACCGAATTTCTAGTGGAAAAAAAAAACAGATCATTGGGTTTTTCACGTTTGAAAACATTTCAATTACAAGCGTGAGCAAGTATTTAAAGAAACTAATGATTTCTAGTAAGATCAATTAGATTTCACTACAAAACAAACAAGTCATTTAATAATTAAAGCAACTATTAGATGCATTCAGAGACTTCCCGCAAGTTGAATATTCTCAGCACCTTTTCACTCAAATTCACTTCTGGTCGGTACAAACAAACACCATCAAAACATTTTCAAAGCTCAGATTAATTATTTCCAATACGGAATTAGGATCCAAAACTCTCTAAGAAAATATAATACATATTCCGACAATCCTTTTTGTAAAAGTGGCGACAGGATTTTAAATGTTTATACAACTTAATCGTGGCTGGGCACAACTCAGCATAATTGGCTGCTACCATATGGAATTTCTAGTTCATTCTTATAGTATTAATGCAGAAATACATGAAACCAAATTATGGCTAATATCTACTAATGCCACTACAGCTGAAAAAGTCAGAATTACTTAGAGGTTTATAATTAAAAATGAAATAAAATTAATAAACTATCATATTGCTTCTGGACTCCTTTTCAAAGCAGAGAGATATAGGCACTAACGAAATATGTAAAGTACCTCTCCACCCTCATCTTGACTCCATCTTGAATTACAACTAGGTTGTTTAGACTCTTCGATCTTCTGCTTTTCCAAAAGTTGTGCGCCTCTAGCAGCCTTTGCTTCAACACCTTTCAAATATTTAGTAGGATGCCCTTGGGTATCATAGTATCGACCAACAACCTTACCAACATACCTACATAACAGGCCCAAAAAAAAAAAGTGAGTGTATGATATTGTTATAAATCATGAACATTAAATACTGGGTTCAATTGTGGTTTTACTGATTCTATGAGCCACAGGGGCTTAATAATAATGGTTTGCTAAGTCTATAAGGCCTTAAGCGTAGTTAGGTAAATAGCTAGGGTGATTAGAGTTATGTTACGATGGCTGTCTATATATAACAGGGGCAATCTATTGTTATTGTTGTTGATTGTTGATGAATGAAATATTCAGTGAATTTTCTTCCTTCTCTTGTCGCTGATTCTTCCTCTCTTCTCTCTTCTTCCCCCTACCTCTCTCCTAATCGCTGAAATCTCTACGATACCTCATCAGATATATTCAATTTGCTTAAGCGAAGATAAGTTAGCAGAAAGCGAAAACATATCAATGTCAATTTAAAGAAAACTTCAAGATGAACACAAGACTAAATCATACTATAAATACAAGAAAAGCTTGAAATGGCCATAAAAGCCTTGCTATAATGGATGTAATCTTAATAACTTCCATTAGCAACTTCAACAAAATAGCTGATTGTAGAAAATATGACTCACTTGTAGGTTTTAAAGTAGAAGTTCCTCCATTCAACAATGCTCTTCACCTGTATGCACGGTATAATTAAATCATACAAATGAATACCGAATCATCGCATGAATGCCAATGCATGTCTAAATGTGGATTCCAGAACCGAGACAAAAAATAGGTCTTATTTGGAGCGCCATAGGGAATAATCCACAAATGATAGTATAAAAAGCACTAAATAGAAGTAAGGCAAGAACTTTTTGTTCACACATCTAATAGCTTAAACCTATGACAAAGTCGTCAATGACAGCATTAGATCTCCTATTCAGGAATTTAATATTTGTCATCCCCTATTCACTTAATTAAAATCAACTTTCAGCAGTAGATTCGGAATGCAGGAGCTATTTCTACACGTCAAACCCAAAGGGTTTTGGTATAACGAAATAAATTAGAGATAATAATTGGCAGCATATAGCATAAGTTTGCCTTTCTTCTTTGTTTAGTTAAACTACAGAAGCGCAACAATTGTTTTATCTATAGGTATGCAATCTTTCCTCTATTATATATTTATATAAAACACAAGCCTCCCTTAGTATCGAGGCTTCACACATCATTTGCTCTATTTGCTTTATTCTTTAAAGCAACAAAAAGGGGAAATTCCATATACTTGCCCTCGTCCTTGCCTTCAATTGCAAAGTCCGCCTAACTTATAAAAGTTGTAATTTTACACCCTAATCCGTCAAAACCCATTGCAGTAACCTTCCACCATCTGAGTTGGATGTTAAATCTAACTTTGTTCCACTTATACGATCTTATCTTTGCCTTTGACTACAATGTCCCCCCAACCCAAAGCAGAAGGTAACATATATAAATAACTCCCCAGTTTTCAATTATAGACATATTTGACCCCATAACTTCCTTATTTTCCATCTTACCTCTATTCCTCCTTCGACTATGGGTAAGAATAGGTAGTGGAATCCTATCAAATTATATCTGGCAAGAACTCACATCAAAACTATGGAGAAAAACAAGAAATTGCCAATAGAAACCCTGTAAGTTAATGATGGACCGCCATGACAAGAGGATCATGCTTAGTAAGATGCATAAAAAGGGGGAAAATACTTTTCGCTGGGCAGAAGCTTGACTTGCTATTCTGAAGAAAGAAATAGAGAGTAGGGTAGCTATAGGATAGCTGTAGTCAAAGTCTATGAGTTGGGGCTCGTGAAACTCACTTTTGGGGTCTATAAATCGTTCCTTTTGGGTTCAGGAGGGGGTGTGGAGAAATTGAATTGTGGTCTTGGCCCTTTGGGTGGAGAGAGCCAACCTCTCAAAAGTTTGGCAAGTCTATTAGTCGATTGTGTTGTATCTTGTTCTGTTTGTGTATCTTGTTCTCTTCCTTGTTAGTTTGCAATCGTCACTTCTATTGTCGCTTATATAGCTTATGTATCAGTATGGCAAAGTCACCTATTCCCTGGTTATTCAGTAAAACCACTATCAATCTCAAGTGTTCCCTTGTTTATTTTTGACTCTTGGTCTTGTGGTAAGTTTCTGCATAAGAGGATCCTATCACATGATCACTAGCCTCAGCACAATCTCATCATACTCTCATGGACCACCAACTCAACCCTACCTACACCCTTGAAGCCATAGTTCCCCTGGTCACTAAAACAAGGCGCATGAAGGATTTGGCAGAATCACATCCCTAGGTACGCACGAGGCATCAGCAAGGTTTTCAAGGTGAAAGAACAATAAGTACAAGGATGAAACAACTAACACAAGCTCAAACTACTTTGAACCTAAATGTCACACTATTCTCTCAAACCATTCTATTAACATGTAAATCTGGTTTTATCTTTTATTTACACAACGCTCCGACATGCATTGGTTGCATGGGTGTCCTCTTGAGCCACTGAAAAGTGTCAAGCAATCATAATAAAGAAAAATCACAAGTGTTAAAATAACCAACAATAAGATTCATGTGAACCACGGCCAAGTTAACAAGACATATTTTTAACAAACCTACACTTCAACAACATAAATTATTAGGAAATCTATAAACCATCAATAGCTACCTCAGTGCTAGATAAACCACGCAATGAGTCTGTGAGTCCCTCTCCTGAAGAAGCAAGTGGCAAAGAATTAAGACAACTTTCAAAAGTGGGCAACGCTTAGACATCTACAATGTTTTGGCAAAAGAAAAAAATTGCTTCTTGGTGCTGCAATGGTAAGTTCTATTTGCAAACAACACAGCAAAACCACAATAAAAGATAGTTGCAAAAGCATTTCTAATGCTTTATGCACACCTTTCAAGGAGTGTTGACATATAGTATGTTCTTTGTTATTTAGCAGCAGTGATTTTCCTCCTTCATGTTATGATGTTTTCCTCATCTCAAAAATAAAAATGAAAATCAATAAATTCAAAAATGTAAATTCAGGAAAAGCCAAAGGGGAAAAAGATCATATCATACAAAACAAAATTTCCATTATTAAGAATGGTGAACTGGAACAAGATACTAATATAAAAGCTGAAGAAAGAAAGTGTCTTATTGCATTTAAATGCAACTTGTTATACGAAGTAACTATACTCTTTCAGGTAGTCAACACAACATAAGAAGAGTCATTCACGTTTCATGCTTCTGCTTAAATTCAAGAGTTGCATTATTCATTCATTCAAAAGATCAAATCAAACCAGCGCATCTAGTTATTTACCTGTGAAGTTCCCAGAGACAAATGCACGAGAAGCGTCCCTGAATTTATTGAAAATTTTGAAGGCAAAACTATCAGTACTTATTCAGCATGAAAACATACAGCTAAATAAGCATTAAACAAACTTAACATTGATTAAGTAATCTTAAAATTTCCGTTGGAGTCTCATTGACTCTTGCTAAGCTTCTCTAATAACAATTCCTATTAAACTTAACAAGCTTCTTGTCATTGCTAGTTCAGTTTTTGGATTGACTTATTTTTTAAGAAAAAAATGTAATTATTTACATCAGATAAGCAAGAACATGTACTTTAAGTTTTTAGGAGAGGATAACGACCATACCTTCCAGCAAAATGATTGTATCCGCCTCCTGAACCATAATGAGATTTTCCTTTTGTTACATCAAACACAGATCTATCCAAAATCGAAGATATAACATCATAGTCAACAAATAGGACTCAAAAAATAGTCAACAGAATCAAACGACAGTCAACTCTCAACAACAAATCAATAAGCCAGGTCAGGAATCCCAACCTTACAATTAACCACCTATTCCCAACCAATCCTGTGTGCACGCACACGGAAAAGCAAACAGCAACAGTTAATGAAGAATGCTATATTTCGGCTCACCAATGCAAGTAGTTCCAGACAGACGTTGTTTAAGGTATATTGATATCAGCACCCATTACCATCCCACAAACAACGCAAAGAGGAAAATAGAAGAATACCCGATAATTCCTAGAAGGATTGGCAAACTTTCATCGGTTCCATTGTACAACGCAAGTTCTTCAGGACTGAACAATCTCTAGAAACACAGAGCACAGAGTCAAAATCATTGACTCAATCTACTGAGTGATAGAAAATGATTTCACTTAAATAGGTCAGAAATAATCAAGAAAACATGAACGACATTTTCGAATGACACGAGCATTGGAAAAAGAAGAAGGATTCCTTGCCAACACTCTATTGGTAACACAGAATAATCAAAGACGCGGGAATTCTGCATACTAACCTGTCCAGAGTTGAATTTGAAGTGAAAAGTTAAAAAAGCAATAAGAGCAACGAAAACAGTCATCCCCAGAAAAGGGAACGTTGCCATCTTCCCCACCATGAAATCTACTTCTCCGAACAAATTCCTTGCAAAGTGCGCAATTTCATACACCAAAAGGCACAGCCTAGGCCCATATGTTATGAATATGATCGCAACAAAGTAGGCTGGCTAGCAGGGCCTGTGAAAATGAGACAGAATGGATCTGTGAGACTGAAAATAAATTTTATGTCTAATCAATATAACTAATAAATCACAATAACAAGTAAGCCGGGCCAGTTACAAATGGGAGCTCCCCTTTGCCTTCATGGTTTATAGCAACAGTAATGGCTCAATGAACTGTGGCAGCCCATAATAGTGAACACAATTCTTGTTCAAGTGAATGAGTTGTGTGCCTTACTCAAGACAACGCAGTACTTGTTGCACAATCACATCACATCACAGCGGTTTCAAATTTTGAAATTTCATCGACCATTTCTCTCTCTTTCATTTTCTTCCATCTCAATTTTTCTTCATCTCTCTCTCTTTAAAGCAATGACTACTCATTTTCTCTCCCTTCCTTCTCACTTTCTTAACCGGAATCCCAATCTCTCGTCTTTGTATCCCCACCATAAAAAATGTATCCCCGTCATCAAGCCACCATATTAATATAATTTTTTTTTTCTTTTTTTGTTTTAAAAAAGAAAAGAAAACCACTGAACCAGTATAAAAAATAAATAGCAAAGAGCAAACCACTGAACCATTCGAACTAGCAATCAGCAAAGAGCAAACCATAGATTGCTCCAAAACAAATACTCAGATTACTCATGGCAAAATAACAAACCATTACAGTAAACTCATTCAGAGTCAGATTACTCAAAAATTGAGTTTAAAATTGGAGTCTTGAGAAGATCATAGGAGACGAACCATGAGGGCAAGAAGAGGAGGATGTCCCACTTGCAATGAGAGGAGAGATGGAGCTCGAGCTCAAGCTCTATCTGGTTATTCACTTTTTGCTGAAGCTAGATAAGGGAAAAGCCGAAGGGGGAAGAGGGAATGAGTAAGGAGAGATAGAGTAGAGCTTGTCAGCTCCAACTCGATTTGGCGGCAGCGGATCTGCTTCCCCGAAGATAAAACAAGCAAAACAATTTAGCCCAAACCTTTAATAACCTTGAAGCACTGTACCGACCAATAGCAGGGCCTCAAGTTTAGCAATCACCTGTCATATTTAAGAGGGAACTGATTGATCATTTTTCTAAAGATCAGGATCTTCTCTTCTGAAGAAAAGGACTTAGACATTAAAGGAAAAGAGATATATTAAGAAAGACGAAAAACATAAGCCAGGACGATTCCACAGGCTAAGGGCAAAAACAAAAAACAAAAAATAATATACATATATATATATATATATATAGACAGAGAGAGGCCACACACGCAAATAAGTATATAAAGGTAAAGCCATGCTTACGAGTATGTAGCAAGCAGTGGTACGGTACCACCAATGTCGAAAGCATTCCACAAAAAATCTACACAGAAATGAAGAAAAGAAAATCATTTATACGATTAGAATACAACAATAAAACAAGCCCTATAGTTTACACCAGGAACTAAGATAAAATTCAGGTTACTTCATCTAGGAGAAGCAACAAAATAAAAATCATTTTCATGGGGGAGTTACTATATTCCTTTGCATTATAGAATGATAAAATTTTGTTCAGGATAGCGGAGATTGTGTCATTCTAATTCTTCTAAATAGCTATACATCTAAACCATTGTTGTTTTATAGATTAAAAAGTGTGATCATCGTCAGACTTCAGTTTTATTCATATCATTTTAAGTAGAAATTTAAAAAAATCATAAAAATGAAAATCTCATGCAAAAAGTTTCTTTTATTTCCGTTTCTTCTCTCTCGCATCCAGCATGCAAAAGCATATACTGTCTGCACCCTCAGTCTATTCATAATGCTAAACCACTTGCTTTCTGTTAAGTATTCTATTTCCATTAAAAAAAGTGTTCTATTAGAGAGAGATGAAACTTAATGTGTTGAAAAACTAACCCTACTGATTCACTTTCAGGTTTAGAACCTAACTCGATAGAAATTTATGGGTGATACTGGCAACCAAAACATGTTTAAGTTAAGGCTGCAAAGCGGACCCCAGCATTTATCTTTGCACCTTGCATTAGGTCACTGATAATTAAGTTTATACAGAGCCTTAATACTAGTGCATCGTTGAATCAAAATATGATGCAAGAAGATTAACAGAAAAACCACAGAAACATCCGAAGTCAGGTAGAAAAGATATTAAGATAAAACAAAATGCTGAAACAAAAATGCAATAAAATCAAAGCGAAAAAAAGAAAAAGAAAAGAGCGACAGGTCATTCTGCCGGAACTGTAGAAAAGAAATACAAGAAGCAGTCGGTGGACTGGACTCGACAAAATTTTCTTTGCTTTCACCAAACCTGACTGAAGCCCTCAAGCAGTGCAGCTATCCATTAACTAGTGAAGGCTATAGAGATCGGAATCCGTCTTGGCGCGGAAGGTCTGAGGGAAGAGAGCTATTTGTAGTCGTTTGACGATCTTGGGGTCACGCGCGCCCCAAAATCGGCAGTTCGATTTGACCGTTGTGATTAGGGTTTTACTGTGGGGTGTGCAAAATCCGAATGCAGCTCGAAATGGTCCGGTTTAATCCATTTCAGTCTAAATAAATTATATAATAAAATTAGACTAGATTATATCAGACTGGTTAGTCAGGTTAGACTGAGTTTCGAATGAAGTGATCAGACTACTTGGACTGATCCAGTCCAATCTAGGTAAATTTTTTATTTTTTAATAATTTGTAATTTAGATATTACCTTTAATTTTTTTTAATGTTTTTAGAGCTTTTTATGTATTTATAATGAATTCTTAATATTTTAGGATAAGTTTTATATGATTATAAGTATTTTTTATTGTTTATTTAAAAAAATTGAAAACTTGGATTGCCTGGACCAGCCTGGTGGACTAAGTCTAGTCTAACCCTATCTCGAGTCATCACTAGATTAGACCAAACCACAAACTGTCAAACCCAACTCGACCAAAAATCAAACCAAATTTCAGATTAGACTCTGGTCTGGTTTGATCTATCTATTGTGCAGCCCTAGTTTTACATAAGAGCCGGGCGGCACAAATAGAGCGTTTCTTGGTGGAAAGGTTAAAACATGTTTAAATAAAATGTGTAAAATGAAATTTTTAATGGATTGTTTTTTTATAATAATTATATTATATTATCTCCTAAAAAGGATCACATTTTTTTATCTAAAAATTTAGAACTCGTGGTATCTTTAGTAAATATGTATATAGGAATCATTTTACCTTGCGGTTAGAAATAACATTAATTAAATCTAAATAAAAAATTATTGTCTAACTGAAAACTAAGTTAAATTCTTTTTTTGTGACAAAAAATATTCTTTCATTCAAAAATATGGAAAAAAAAAGATATAATAAATATCTTTTTTATAATATCTACATCATCCCCCAATTCAGAGAGCGGAGATTTCTTTACAGGCTGGAGGCCCATCTAAAAGTCCATCCCTCCACCACGGGCCTCCAATCGTCTGGTCTGGCCCACTTTGATGCCCATGTCTCTTCTTTAGTTTCCTTCATAACTCACATTGCTAAATTAGTGTCTCCGAAAAAATTATCTTCAATAAAAAAAAATCTGTGTCTAGTGAAAATGAAAAAAATAGAATAAAACTCATTTTTCTTTTCATAGTAAATGTAATTATGTATATAATTGTTTTAATTTTTTGGCGGAAAATATACTTGCTCCAATCTTAAATATGGGTGCAGATAAATAATTTATAGAAATTAAGAAAACTAATTATTTAAAAAATTGTGCTAATTTATCTAAATACCATTTTTATTATTTGAATTAGAATTATTATTTAATATAAATTCTTCAATATGTGTAATTAATAGAAGAATCTGAAAAAAAGTTATAAGTTTAAGAAAGATTACGATAATAAATCCCTGTTCCTATATATGGAGCCAAAACCCGGAAATTTTTTTTTTAAAAAAAACACTTCCAACAAATAAGCGCGGGAAAATAAAATTCGTGGTTTGTTTTGGAGAAGAAAAAATATGTTTTCCTTCCCACCAGTACACTAACAGGCTCACAGCACAGCAAACAGCAAATCAACAAAAACAATCAAGAAACAAATATGGAATGTAAACATGGAATATCTAGTGACTATCAGATCATCCTGCTGGTAATTAAAAATATTATATTTATTTTATTAATATCTTATTAAAATATTAGTTTTTTTAATTTCTAATAATTTCCAAGTAAATTTTTTATATTTACAAATTTGTAAAAAAAATTTACAACTTATCTTCTTCTTTTTTTGCTGGAAAAATTTACCATTTATTTGTATATTTGTGACTTCTGTTTTTAACATTGTACTAAAACCTGAACCAATGACCCAGTCACATGGGCGGTCTGGTCAAGCCTCTAACTTGGAATTTTTGTGACCCCGTGTGAACCATCCTAGCCCGGGATAACTTGGGATTAACCCACTGGGATGGGTGGGTTACTAGTCTACCTCCTTGTTGAAAAAAATTGTCAGTTACCATAGCCGAAGTTTGAAGCTGAATACTTTCCTAGTGACAAGGGTAATAAAGAAGAGGAGTCGTTTCAATAATAGAGGACAAGAGGGGTGAGAGTGGTTATGTTAGCCTACTGCTGATAGTTTCACTGGCGACTGCCATGAGATTTTTGGAGAGGGCGAGATGCTGGTGTGTTTGGTGTCATCTTCTCAAAAGATGCAATTAGCACTATTGTGGCTGTGGACGAGTTGGTATCTAACACGATGGTAGTTGGAGTAGCGGTTGGAGATAGACCTGGGAAAACGAGTTAGTCCTACAGGGCTGAAATTCAAAAATACCCCATTTTATTAGGGTCAGCCTGTAACATTCCATTTTTTTTTCCTTTATCTTATTATAGGATTTTGGTTATATGGATGAAATTAATTTATAATATTTAATATTAAAGTTTATTGAATAAATTGTAAATCATAATTTCGATGATATACATATAAGTTATATAAAAAAAATAAATGAAAAAAATTATTATTATTATTTTAAAAAAATTAAAATATATATATAAATAATAAAAAGGCAAGTGGGTGGCACGTGGGCCACCCACTACCAGCGGGAAGAAGGGGGGTGTAAGCCCCTGTTGGGCCGTGGCCCTCTTTTAATAAAAAAAAAAATTGCATTTCAAGTGGGGGTCACGTGTACCCCTACTTTCAAATGCTTTCCCCCGCCCCTTTCTCCTTCGTGTCGCTCCTCTGGTCCATGTCCTCGCCGCAGCCGCGATAATGAGTGGGCGTGAGAGGTAGTTTGAGTGTGTGAGAAAGGAAGGGCTCTACTTGGATACATATAAGATATTTAGGTAAGCTATTTTTATCCTACTATTTTTATTTAACTTTTTCTTTTTCATTTCTGTAAATTTATGGCTGAAAATAAAGCCTAGGACTTGTTAGATTTTTAATTTTTAAGGTTTCTAATTTAGTATTAGGATATTAATGGAGCTTATGTGGTTAGAATAAAAGTCTTATGACTCAGATTTTAGTTGGATGGTTGATTTGAGACAATATAAGTTAGGGTTTGGTTGGGAAATTGTGATTTGTGTTAATGATGATATTAATTTCAAAATTTATCTCTTAGTTGGGTTCATTTGAGGTTACATTGAGGATCCAATACTTAAACTTTGAGGATTGTTGTTGAAATAGTAATGTTGATGATTCTTGGTGAGACTTTAATTAGTGGAAGTTGGGTGTTTGGAGTAAATTGAGAAAAATATTATAAGTTATTGATTCTAATGAATGGGAAATGATTAATGGAAGAAGGGAATAGGATTGTAATAATGATTGGAGGCATAGATGGTACATGATTATTTTTCTAAGAGTTAAAGTAAGCACTTTTTGGAGATTTTTAGATGATTTGAAAGGATTATTCTTATTAATAATGTGAATGAGAGAAATAGAGTTGGGAAGTACTAGAAATTGTCACTTGGAAGAATAGATGAATTATTATTTTTCCTAAAGATAATTTTTTTTAAAGTAAGCCAATTATGGGGATTTAGTTAATAAACTATTCTAATACTATATTAATTAGTCTTTTTATATTAATATATGTTTATCAATTTATTATTGTAGAGTGAGCTTGGTTTGGGCTCTTGGGTCTTGAATCCTCCTACTTTTAGTTCTTGTGTCAAGAACTTGAGGTAACCACTTTCTAATTTACCTTGTATGCTTGTTGATGTGATTATAAGCATGTGTTGATATTATAAATGTTATCAATATGTGTTATGGTGATTTTTGTATGAAAAGTAATTTATATATCTATATCAAGAGTTATGTTTCGTTAAATTTATTAGTTAAGTGGGCATGAATTATTTCATCTTATGAATATCTTATTGATGTTGAACAAATTTGATTATTGAATCTGAGAATACTTTATAGATATAAAATTATGTGGAATTGGATGGTTGGATTGTGCTGTGTTGGTTGTGCTGAAATGTAGTTGTGGGAGGTCTGATTATTTATACCACGTGGTATAGTCGCCACTTGGCGCCCAGTGGTTGGCATTAACATTCTTAGGGCCCTCGGTATCACCCTTCCTTTGGCCGGATCAAGGGTCAGCCCAAGGGACATGACACCTTTCCATATTCCAAGGAAAGGGAACCCATGGTCCGGTATGAGTTCTGTAACTTTTGGCTGAGTTACACCTCATTATTGAAGAGCTTGGTGCAATCTTGTAAAAAAGACGAATCATGTTATGTGTGAATAGCCCATGGGTTCTGTCAGAGGTTACAAGGAGGTTATAAGGATGGTTGATGAAGTTCTATGCATGCAAGTTACTTTTTGAATTATTATATATTGTTTTTTGTAAAGATGTTTAACTTATATGTTGTTTGGAATTGTACTTTGCCCGCTTAGTTATCTTGTAATCACTCCCTGGATACTTGTTGAATTGGAATTGTGGTTACTGGGTCAATTTGACTCACCCCATGGTTATTTAACATTTTTCATGCGAAGGTTCAGGTGTTGGTCCCAAAGGGAAGGTGTCCGAGGCTTGAGTTTTCCTTTCCACTCTGTATAGCCTCTATTTTGGTATACATGATTTGACTGATGTATATTGCCAAACTTTAGGGCCTTTTTGTTATACTTAACATAATCATAGCCTTTCCGCTGCATTCTAGACTTGTACTATTGGGCGGAGCTCTTTTTGGACATATGTGATTGTTATTTTGATTGCAATTGATAATGGGCAGTAGTGGTAGTTATTTTGGTGGACTTCAAATGCCCTAGCCCATTTACAATTGGTCTTAATTGTATTTGAGATTCTAGAGTATTACTGATGGATTTGATATATACATGAAAAATCAAATGTTGATCCTTTCTGATTTGATTAACTATCTTTACTATTCTAGAACAGTAGCTAT